CTCTGCTTCTCTACCCAAACTTTCAGCTTCCCAGCATTTCCTATCTGATACCTGCTGAAGGATGAAGGACCTCTGCCCAGTCTAGGGGGAGGAAGGGCTGTCCCTGCCATTGGTTAAGTTAGGGACCTACTTCCCTACTTCCTCCACTGGCTCCCACCCCATAAATGAACAGCCCAAAGGGCTAGGATTAGATCACCAAGCCACCCATTTTAAGCATGGTAGAGATACGTCTCGTATACACAGAGGCCTGGGTGCGAGATGGCTTACAACTCTTTATCCTTCCCTACAGACCAAGAAGGGCAGAGGGACCCTTAGATCGTGCCAGCAGTACGTGTGTCCTGATCCTGTGGGTGTCCCCAGGAAGCTTCACAGGGTGGGACACATGTGATAATTCTAAGAGGAACGCGGTGGGGGCAGGGCAAGGGTAGTTCTGGGAAAAGCAGTATCCCCCGGAAGGGGTAGCTGTAAGAGCCGAGGGCCTGTGGGTCTTAGGACCCAGCAGGGAGGGATAATGTAGAAGCGTCCTCAGGGAGGGCCGCTCTGTAGTGCCGGGTCAGGTCTCTCACATGCCGGGTCTCCTGACTTGCTGCTCACTTCCACCTCCAGGAACCTGCAGACTCAGCCCTGGAGCCCAGCAGGTCCAGGTGGCAATGGGAGGGGCCACTCACAGGCCTGGTACTCGTCCAGCTGACCCCATTTCCCTTCCAGCAAACCGCAGGCTCAGCCCTGAAGCCCAGCAGGCTGGTCCAGGCCCAGCAGGCCCAGGTGGTGGTGGGAGGCGCTGCTTAGAGGCCAAAGTAAAGAGACTTATCTGGCCACTCGGCAGGGCTTACTCGGGTGTGTTTTCCCAGGAAGAGCTAGGCAGCTGTATGTGTCGCAGGGTCTAGAGGTGAAGCCTAGAAGGAGCCCACCCTTATCTGGGGAGCAGCGCACAAGCCCCACATCTAGCCGAGGATTTCAGATGAAACAAAAATGTTCCAACACCCACACTGACCCATGTGTGTTAACCTCCTACCTCCATGCCGGTCTTGCAGTACCCCCTGCCCTCTGACCACTACTTGCCGTCTGGTACACCCTGCCTCTTGCACACTGACCCCCCGCATGACTTTGGCTGCATCCTAGCCCCTGCACACTCACCTGTACTGACCCCTGGAAGCCTGAGAGAAACAGAAGGGGAGAGGGTTTCCCTCTTGCATCTCACAAACATGGGCCCTCCATACTGGGATGGGAGTGGGTAGGAGCAAGCAGGCTGAGGCATCAAGACAACGTGCACTCTGCACAACATTGCTCCAATCTTCCAAGACTGCACAGACAAGTGCAGGGGGCTCTGGCCATGACACCTCCATCTTACCAGAGGCTGTCCTGGAGATACATGGGGCGGTTCCCTGACAGCAGTGATAGAGCGGGGGGATGGTTAAATGTTGTCTCCCCACTGCTGGATTCCAGGAGTTGGGGAGCCAACTGGTGTGGGAAGACCCCCCCACACCCAATCACCTACTCATGAGAGTTTGTTTCCTGTCTGGTCAGCCAGCTTTCCCTGAGTACACAGGGGTGTGAAGACCCCATATGACTGTTTGGGGTCTTCATACCGCTGAGTGGAGCAGCAGAAAGAGGGGTTACTGTCTTGGCTAGAGGGAGTCATCTCTCACCTCCGAGAGGAAGTTGAGTTTCTGCTTCAGAATAGGAGAGGGTGCACCCTGGTAACTGGGGGTCCCCAGGGCACCTTTTGTACTTCCATACCTACTAGTGAAGGTTATGGGACACCAGCAACCCAAATTTAAGGTCAGCGAAGGTGAGGTCTTCTGGAAGTGAGGACCTTACAAGGGGTTAAGGAGTAACTCGGTACTGAGCACATGCCTAGCACAGCACGTGTGAGGCCCTGAGGCCCTGGCTCCAGCCTCAGCACAAAGCAGGGCAGCTGGGCTCCAGCTGGGCCAGGGGACTTGTGAACTAACTTAGAGGCTGGCCTGCAGCCTCCCTTCTCCCCAAAATGCTGAGTGTAGCTGAGTTTGAGAGGAAAATAATGTAATATGCAGGTTACAAAGACGAGGCCGAGCAGTTCCTGTGGCTTCCGCGTGCCATCCGTTGTGCCCGGCCTTACGTATTGTCTCCTGATGTGGAATAAGTTGGGGATACAGGCCAATGCATGAACCCCCAACTGCATGAGGGATCACTGCCTCTCTCTGCAGTTAAAGGTCTGTGACTGTTCAAATGTGTGCCTCAGAGGGAGGTGGTTAGAGAGCCATGCAACACACACACACACACACTGCTCAGGGTTCTGTCTGTGGCGGTGGTACCAGGCTGTGGCCCTTCGTGACAGATATGCTGTTGTTGTGACCACCCTTCTTCTCTCCTTCCTCCATCTTTCTTCACCTCCCTACTTCTCCAGATTCCCATCCTCATTACGTCTAAGTTCTGTCACCTCCTCCTTCGGCTTCTCAGGGGCTTCTTCCTCTGTTCTTTGTCCAATCCATGGCCAAAGGCTAGGCTAGTCCACCTGCTACGGGAGACCCTCATTCTTTAGTTTACACAAAAGGATATTTTTTTTTTTCGGTTTTTTTCGAGGCAGGGTTTCTATGTGGTTTTGGAGCCTGTCCTGGAACTAGCTCTTGTAGACCAGGCTGGTCTCGAACTCACAGAGATCCGCCTACCTCTGCCTCCCGAGTGCTGGGATTAAAGGCGTGCGCCACCACCACCCGGCTAAAGGATATTTTTAAGGAGACATCCTGGACTGGGCTGCTGCCACCAGGAGATGAGAGCTGCCTAGCGGAGCCTGCGTGAGGACTTTAAAGTTTGGTTTTGTTTGTCTGTTTTTAATACTTCTGAGGTAAGTAGCATATTGTTGTAAGCAGCTGTTTTCCTAACAAATCATGGTGGAATCTATCTCTTTTTAAGGCATTTTCTCCACATGATTCCTACAAAAGGAAGTGTGAAAACCATGGATGCAAATGGTATTGCAATAGAGTCAGGTCTTTGGAGGGTCAGACCTTTTGCTAGTGCATGTGTTGGAGAAGATCCTGCAGCCTCAGTTCCTAATACGGAAAGAGCAGCCTCACCGCAGCTTCAAGGATGTGCAGCCACAAAGGGGAATTCTCCGTGTCAGGAGCCAGAGCCGTCTTGGAGCTCTGTGGCCATGTATCCCGTGGACTCGGTTCTAGGATGAGAACATAAGCACCCACGCTGCTCTTACGTCTGGACTCAGCACCCTCTGCCACTGCATCCCAGCGAGGTCAGGCTCTAGTGGGTTGGAACCCAGCATGGACACATGGGTGGCACTTCTGACACCTGTCCCTGATGTCACATGATGGTCAGACTCCCTTCCCTACGAGGAGAGCTTGGTTGATAGAAATGGGGGCTAAGCCTGCTCTAGCGTTTGGTGTGCCTTTCTCATTTCGACGACAGAGTGGACATGAAGCAGCTTAACTGAGGAGATGGTTACCTCAGCTCCCGGCTCAGGGAGCACATCCATTACAGTGAGGAAGAACCGCAGCAGGAACCTGAGGCAGCTGATCGCACTATATCCCCAGTAGGATGGCCTGGGGTGGTGGATGACGGTGCTCAGCTCACTCTCTCCTTCCTGAGTGATCGTCTGAGATCCTGGCTATCCATTCATGCACCTATCCACCTACCAACCCATTCATTTACCCATCTACCATCCTGCAGTTACTGGCTGACCAGTCACACAGTAGGACAGATGTCTGTCATGTTCCCCGTGAAGCGTGCCATCTTGGATATATCTGGGACACAATTTTGGATAAAAGAGACCTTGTCTCCCTTGTAGAGTTTGATCTGGGAGATCAGATGCACAACTGAATGCTGAATAGTACCCCCAGGCTCTACATGTGGTATTCCCTGAGACTAGAAGGGGGGTCTTATAGGTATTATCAGGAAAGGCTTCAGGTCTGTTTCTGCCATGGCCCAGCCCTGTTCCAGAATGTGCTTGGCTCAATAGGAAGGAAGTGGGCATGGGGCCATACACCCCTGCCCAGGGGATGGGGAAGGTCTACCATCAGCGGGATTTTGCACACTTGCACCCCACAAGCCTGGCGCCACCCTCCCGAGCAGTGGGCTAGCTCTGTGTGCTATTTGCTCTCTATCAAGGCCACAGATTTTACAACCATCTCCACGGATGGCTTTGGGCCATTGCCTGCTCTGTTTGTCTCCTGGGGCTGAGAAAGGCTTAGATGAGGGTGGGGCCACACAGCTGCTGTGGACTGGGGAAGGTGCACATTGTGCTAACAACCTCTTTCAGGGGTGTGTTTGGAGCTGGAGTGCTTAGATTCTGGGCCCACTGCTTTGGACCCTGTATGCATCTCTATTTTTTTTTTAAAGATTTTATTTATTATGTATACAATATTTTGTCTCCATGTATGACCACATGCCAGAAGAGGGCACCAGATCTCATTACAGATGGTTGTGAGCCACCATGTGGTTGCTGGGAATTGAACTCAGGACCTCTGGAAGAGCAGCCAGTGCTCTTAACCACTGAGCCATCTCTCCAGCCCTTTTTTTTTTTTAATCTTTATTTTTAAACAGCCGTCAGGCCTAGCAATGTTTGTCTCCACATCCCAGAGGAAGAAGGCATACCCTGTTCCTTCCCCAGCCTGGGGCATCAGTTTCTTTCTGCTCTGGAGCTCTGACTGTTCCTGCCTGCCATCCGACCCAGCGCTCCAGGGGCATGCCCTGAGCCTACCACAGCCCACCGTGTTGGCCCCAAGGCTCTGCTAGGTAGAGGTACGGCCTGTGATCTGAGACAGCTGGCCAGCAAGGGAGGAGTGGGAGGAGTCTAGTTGTGGGGGCTGAGAAGCCAGTTTGGGGTGGCTCAGAGCACGATCATCATTGCCCTGCAGGGTCAGAGCCTCTGTTCTTGCTTCTCACCCACCCCACGGTCACAATGGTCACATCCTGGAGTCATGGGCAGCGTGTTTATTTGTGTTGAGAGCAGAAGCAGGGCGAGGCTCTACGGCAGGAACCCTTGCCTTCTTCAGCAGACATTTGGATCAGGTGTCCAGCCTGATGGGGTGGGGAGGGACAGTGTTGGGATGGTGGATAAGGAAGAGGAGCAGGGGAGAGACTTGAGACTTGGGAGGAACAGAAGGCAAGCAGATTGGAGTTGGGCTAGAAGGTGAGACCAGGAGAGGTTCCAGGGAAAGGGCTAGGAGGCATGCTCCTCAGAGTACACCTCTGTCACCACTCTGGGCTCCCCCAGAAGCCCCTGCTGTGGCCTTGCCTGGCCCCCGCAGGGTCCTAGACTTGGGGTGGATCTGCTGGTACGGGACAGTGAGTGTTAAGGTTAACGCAAACACATACGTGATCCCATATGCGTGCCGTATGGAATGTGACCCAAGCGTGGTGCCACAGGCCTGAAATACCAGCACCCGGGAGACTAAAGCAAGAGAATCGTGATTGCCACACCAGTCTGGGCTATACCTCAAGACCTATCTCAAAATGACAAGGGTATATGTGGGTGAGCATGTGCCTGTCTGCATGATTGTAGGCGCGTGCTTGGTGTGCAAATGTGACTAGGCAGGTATGCATGGAGAGGTATGATGGGGAAGGTCCTTGGACAGGGCGGGAGTTGAGGGGATCCTGATCCATCCTTGAGAGGAGTGAGGCTGAAGACAGGGCTCAGCCCTGAAGCCCCTTGGCCTTGGGCTCCCGGAGACTTTCCTGCCAGAAAGAGGCTGACCAAATTCAAGGACTTCCCTAGATGAATTCCAGTCTCCTGTGAGCAGGGAACTATCCTCCCGGGACAGAACCAGGGCCAGGAGGGGGCAGCCTGGGACAGTGACACAGGGTTGGGAGGAAGTGGCCTGGGATTCAGATAAGAGCGTGAGCCATGAGCACCTCCTTGCTGATTCAGGCTGAACTCTATAGCAAGCACTTGCCCCCTGAGGATAGGCACTGGACTTGTGAAGGCTGGGGAAGGTGCCACCATTGTCCCCAGATCCCATCCCCCTTCCCATCATCCAATGCTGCAAACCCATTACCGGTCACATCGGGGAAGATGAAGTTGTTCTTTGTGAGGTTCTGGGTTCTGGCCAGGCAGACAAACCTGTCTATTGGCTTATGAGGAAGCCTCCATTTTCTACCTGTGGCCAGAGGAGCACAGCGCTGCTCTCAGCACTTGGTGGTGGTGAGGCATTTGCCCCCAAGCCATCCCCCAACCCAGACAGCACCACCCTGACCAGGCTTCTGCAAGCGGGGGCTCACCCAGAAGGTTGACTCTGATGATGGTCAGGCTGCTTGTTTGTCTGAGGGACAGTACCAGGGCGAAGGTGGTGTAGTCTGTCTCGATGACCTGTACGTCTTCTCTGTCTGCTCCAGTCCCTGACCCCGAGGAACACACATGTGAGGTCCCCAAGGCAGCTGTGCCCTCCCCACTCATGCCACGCTCACCTTTGTTCTCCACGGTGAACTGCCCAGGCTTGGTTGTTGGGATCAGAGCATAGGACCAAGCGTCACAGCGCTTGCCCCTGTGGGAGGGGGAGGCAAGGGCAGGAGCGGGGGTGGGCAGAGGGCTAAGGGAGCCAGCCAGGCCCACCCTGGTGTAACACACACACACACACACACACACACACAAAAAATCAGCTATTTATTTGAAGAGGCCTACACCCCAGGACGCAGAGGGCAGGAGCCCTCCCGACTCCCCAGCCTCAGCTCTGGAGTCCTTTCGGTTGCTTTTCCCTTCGGAGAAGCCTGGCTCGATGCCATAAGAGCAACTCCTGCTCCACCCAGCACTGGTCCTCAAATCCGCAGGGGCTCATCATGCCAAAAAGAAAGCTTCTGGGGATCAGGAGCTAGCCTCCTCTGGCACCCAATCCAACAATCTCCAGAAAGGGCCACAAACAGACTACAAGCAGGGGCTTCTTGCCACTGTTAAGACTTTCGAAACAGAACCTACCCAGGAGAGCAAGACAGGACAGAGAGAACCAAGACAGAGAGAGAGGTCCCTGACCACACAAGAGTACTGAAAACCCATTAGCCCTCTGTCTCCAGAGTGCCTCCCCTGATGCCTCTCCTCTGACAGCCAGCCCTTCACTGGGTTGGCCTTTAGCAATGGTCATGAAGCAGGCTGTGCTAGACATGGTCGCTAGATGTCACAGTGTGGCTGGGCCATGCAAGGTTCCTGGGACACAGCCCCAAGTCCTTGACTGCTGGGACAGGAAAAACACCCCACTCACCGGGTCATGGTGTTGGTCACCTGAAAATAGCTGTTGTTTTTCAGCTCGAACAATGCGATGTAGGGGCTGAGCAGGGTCCGGTGCTCTCTCTTGTAGGTGTTGCCCGCCAGACCGAGGACAAACCATTCCCCCTGAAACTGCATGGCTGGCGATAGGCATAGCTAGCTGTTTCCCGCCCTACCCTGGGCAGCACACAGTCAGCCAGGACCCTCCTCATCAACAACACTGGGAGAACCCTGCAGCTGCTTTTAATCTAGCAGGTAGAGGGTGACCTTCGTCAGTAGCCAGGTGGTCTTCCCAAATCTCCATTTGTGTTCTTTCACAGAGGGACTTATTAGTGCCAACACAGACAGTAAGATGGAGCTAGGCCCTTTTCTGGGGGAGGTCATGGGCTCACTCTGGAACTCTGGGTTCAGGTTCCACCCTGGCCTCCCAGTGCAGTACCTATGGGCCTGCATACACCCTCCCTCCAAAAGCCAGGACCCTAGCCAGCTGCAACCTGCGTCTTTTCCTTTGAAAGCCCTGTACCTGGTCATTGTGGAAGCTAGTCAGCTCGGGAAAGCCTTGAAGCTTGCTTGGAATTTGGCCCTCCAGGATTTGGGGAAGGGTGAGAGTCAGCCACAGAGCCCACCAAGGGCCCATCCCAGCAGTGGCCAGGCTCCAGAGGGACAAGGCCTGACTGAGGAACGATATTGGTGAAACTTGCACAGAAACCCGTTTCTTCATGCCCACCTGGGCCAATGCTCCTCTCCGGGAAGTGCGGCAGGGCCAGATGGGTGTGGAGGGAGGGCAGGGCTGACCTAGGCTATTGTAGTCCTCAGACCCTAAACACCTGCCAGGGTCTCCTGGGTTCCAGCCAAGGAAAAGAAAGCCTGCTGGGTCCAGCTGGGGCCATCTTGTGACTCCAGACACCTGCTCTCAGTGTCCCCACAAGCGGGTCAGAAGTCCTCCCACGTCCACCCTATCTGTTCTTCATGCCAAAGGACACCTTGTTCTAGGCAGGGAGCATGTCTGGTCCTGGTTTCCACAGCTTCTTACCCATGGTCTGGCCCGAGAGCCCCCAGGCAGCTCCATAGCCCTCTCACGTGCTGAAAGCAGTGTAGCATAAACACTGTTCCCTGTTGGAACACAGAGCTGGTCAGAGAGAGAGGGAAAGGCCTCGGAACACCCAGGCCAGGTAGGACATGCTGGGGGTATTCCAAAGGGACCTTCCATGCAGAGGGGTGGAGCTGGGGGAAAGACCATGTGGGAGCGGGTACAGTGGGGACAGGACCTTTCAGAGTCTCCTTCTCTGAGAGCGGGACCTTATAGTAGAGACTCATGGGAGCGAGGTCCCATGGGAATGGAGCTCTGGGGGCACGGGTCCTTAAGGAAGTGGGGTCCCATAGTTGCAAGGTGCTACAGAGCAGGAAGCTGGGTAGGATCCTGCTCGAGGCTGTGAGAGGTAGGTGCCATGCTCTCCCTGGTCACAGGCTGGTGACCCAAGAGCTGTGCAAACTTGGTGTAGGCGGTTCCTGACTGAGCTTCCAGAAGGAGGTGCAGAGCCATCTCAGCCTGTTCCCTGGGCTCTTTTCTGCAGGGCAGGACACTGAGAAGACTTGGGGAACAGAGAGAGCAAGGACAGACCAGGTCTCCAGGCTGGGCCCAAGCAGGGCCCTTGGTGGACCAGGCCTTCCCAGGTCTGCTGAAACTTCACAGAGGGGACTTGTCCTCAGGAGATAGCCCCATGGTGACACAGGGCCTCACGAAGTGGCTCTTTTTTAGGTCTTGGAGGCTGTAGTAGCCTTTTCACTCCGTTCCCCTTTCAAGAGTATGCTGGAATGAAGGGCAGGAAGCTCCTCCCACTTTGATGTGATTGGTGGAGCCTCCAACCAATGTCCAGTGGGCCACCCTAGATTTACAGCAACAGAAACAAAACTGTCCTGTCATCCTGGGACTGAAGCGGATCTGGGATCCTGTGTGGTCTTCTGAAGCTGACCATGGCCTTCTACAAGACCAGGATTGGAGGGAGGGGGCAAGCGACGACACAGAGCACCACGCAAAGCTTGGAGGAGCAGACAGCTCAGAGTGGAGAACATCCCACTTGCAATCCCTGCCTTCCAGGGCCCTCCTGCTTCTTCTGCTCTGTGCCTCCTCCCCATCCACGACCCCTCCCTGGCTCCCTTGCAGGCTTCTACCTGCCCACTCCTCCCATTACCCTCCTCAGCCACCTCCATCTTTCCTTCCGACAGTGACAGCCAGGGCAAACCACCTTCTGTCTGCCCTGTGTCTCCTCTCTGGGAAGACTCCTGAGTGCTGTTCTCTGCTCACTTCCCTCGCTCCAGAATTCTTTCCCAGGACACTGTCATGAGTGGCAGGAGGCCCCCGAGTGTAAACCGTCTTCATATGCAGGGGACCACCTGTCCATAGGGCATCTGGGTGGACAGCAAGGGCAGGCGCACTACTGCTTGCTCCTGCCTGTTGAGAAGGGGTACAGCCCCTCACCTCCAGGCAAGGCAAAGACAGGTCACCTGTTCTGTAGCCCCAGGTCAAGGCCTCTAATCCTGTGGTCTCAGGCAAGATGGCCAGTTACATATTGGTGTCTCCAGATTTTTAAAGTTATTTTTTCCTTAGATATTATACATTGCCTGTTAGAATTCAAAGGTTATATACAGATTATATATAACATTTGCGTATGAATATGTGTATGTATTGTATATGTGCACGTTTACATGTGGGTGTACAAGCAAGCCGAGCAAGAGGGCACTGGGTGTCCTTTCTGCCTTCTTCCATTGAGACAGGGTTCTCACTGAACCTGGAGTTATGCTGGAATGCAGCAAGCTTCCTAATCCTCTTGTCGGTGTCCCCACCCTCTGGTGCTGGGGTTAATGGTAGGACTGGCCATGCTAGAATTTTTATACTACACACGTCTGCATGATTGTGCAGCAAGCATTCTTATTCACTGAGCCATCTCTCCAGCCCCTGTAAGAAATATTTTAGGGCTGGAGAGATGGCTCAGAGGCTAAGAGCACTGGTTGCTCTTCCAGAGGTCCTGAGTATTCAATAAGAAATATTTTAGGGCTGGAGAGATGGCTCAGAGGTTAAGAGCACTGGCTGCTCTTACAGAGATCCTAAGTTCAATTCCCAGAAACCACATGGTGGCTCACAACTGTCTATAATGGGATCTGGTGCCCTCTTCTGGCCTGCAGACATATGTGCCAGTAGAATACTATACACTATACACAAAATAAATAAATCTTTTTTTTTTAAAAAAAAAAAAAAGAGGAAATAGTTTAAAATAAAGAAGATATTCATGGGCCAGTGAGACGTTTCAGCAGGTAGAGATACTTGTCTCTCTAGTCCTGACATTCTGAGTTTGGTCCCCAGACTCTATTAAAGGTGAAGGAGAGAACTAAGTCCTGCCAGTTGCCCTCTGACCACCATAAGCAACCCCTAACCCATGTCACACACACACACACACACACACACATATGCGCGCGCGCACACACACACACACACACACACTATTTTACCTACAATTTTCAAATTTAACTGCAGCTCCTAAAACACTTTTATGAATCTAAAATATGTGCCAATTCTAGAGCCGTCTCCTCGGGTTGGCACAAAAGCTAATGGCTGCATGGTCCAGGCTCAGCCCGTTCAGCCCCACAGGACAACAAGGCAGAGATCAGAGGGCTGGCCCTTGGCCGTGGGAGCTCAAGCCTTTCATCACTTTCTGTTAGGGAACGCAAGGCAAGAAGGAAAAGGTGTTCCTGGGGCCAGGGAGGTGAGACCAATGCCAGGCCCCACAAGGCCAGAGTGCTCCTGTGAACTTCGTTTTTTGTGGATAGGACAGTCTCCTGAAATTCCTCCTTCCAAGGCCCCTGGTGGGGCTGGAGAGATGGCTTAGAGGTTAAGAGCACTGGCTGCTCTTCCAGAGGTTCTGAGTTCGATTCTCAGCAACCACATGATGGCTCACAACCATCTGTACTGAGATCTGGTGCCTTCTTCTGGCCTGCAGACATATACACAGATAGAACACTGTATAAATAAATAAATAAATAAATAAATAAATAAATAAATAAATGCAAGGCCCCTGGGGGTCCACTCTCCCTCCAGTCTATTTTCCTGCCCTGCCCAGAGACCCCAGGTGATAGAGCTTCCTCTGGGGCAGCTGTGGCCCAGGGGCCACCCCTATAACTATAGCTCCCATTCCTCCAAAATGGGCCAGCAGACAAGACTTCACCTGCCTTTGCTCTAGGAATCATACAGCAGTCTTGCTAGTACGATAGCTCACTTGGAGTGTCCTGGGGCTGCTAGAGGGGAGGACATGGCCGGCTGGGGAGCCAAGGGGCTAGCCCACCTTTGTCTCCCTGTCAGTAATAGATGGCTGAGCCTTGCTCCCAGGAGCAAGGACTTGCCTACTTTGTGTCCCCAGGGCCTGGGGCACCTCAGAAATGTTTACCAAATGAGTGCTGGTAGTCATCATACCACCAGTAAGGCAAGGTCTGAAGCAAGAGCAGATGCAAGCCTAGCAGTGTCTGGGATGATGCCCAGTTCCCCGAACTCCAGCCCCTGCCTTCAGAGCCAAGCAAACCATCCCAGGGCTGGAAAGAACAATGCTCCTGTCTAGAAAGGCCCAACTCCTTCCTTATGGGGATATGCACAACTTAGCTCCCTATGGCTGGTAACCCTGACTACAGTAGGGGCTGCTGGGGAGACAGCTGTATCAGGGGTTCGACCCACATGTTAAGAGCCCCATGCTCACCCCTAACTGGTCCCATGTGAAGAAGGTTGTCTGTTCCTTGTTCCTGGGGTACAGTTTTCCACTCTATGTGCCCCAACTGCTCCCTTAAAGCCGCCCTGAATTCTTCCTGGCAAGTATCCCTGGACCTATAGCTCTTTAGCCTCCAGGGTCAAGGGTCAGGAGGGGCCCAGAGGACTTGGGAAGCCTGTGTCCCTCTCCAGAGAAGGTACCCTAGGCAGGGCCTTGAGTCCACCCCCCCCACACACACACACCATGGGGACTAAGCAAGCACCATAGGCTGTGATGGGGGAGTGAGGGAAGGAAAGCACCACAGAGCAGAGTAAGCCTTCACTGTAGAAGGGAAGCAGGCTCAGGGAGGGAGCAGGGACTCTTGCTTCTAGGTAGAAGGAGCAGTTTCCAGCCCCACCTTTCCAGAGCAGAACCATCCAATAGCCAGGGGGCAAGTTGCCTTCCCTTCCCACCTCAGCCTGGTAGAATTCCAGTCCAAGTTGACAGAAAAGACCCAGGGCCACATCTGATGTTTACTGAAAAGCCCCCAGGACAACAGAGCTGTGTGAAGGTATGCAGGACAGACAGGAGACTCCAGGAGCACGTTCAGGGTGCTCAGAACTCTCTGAGAGCAGTCCAATGTCCACAGCTTCTCCACCACATGGCCTCATCTCCGCACCTCTGCAGCAGACACAGGGCTTAGTGGGGCAGAAAAGACAAGGACCTCAGCCCCCCTGCTCTGCCCTGCTGGCATGTCACTCACCATTCAGAGTGTGGAACTGGTCCGCAGTTTCGCAGAAACCTAGGGTGCAGGCAGTAGTCAGGGAGGGCAGGATGTTGGCCAGGAGGGTGACTGGGCTGGGGACACTCACTGTACTCAGAGGGTGACTGGGCTGGGGACACTCACTGTACTTGGGAGGGTGACTGGGCTGGGGACACTCACTGTACTTGGGAGGGTGACTGGGCTGGGGACACTCACTGTACTTGGGAGGGTGACTGGGCTGGGGACACTCACTGTACTTGGGAGGGTGACTGGGCTGGGGACACTCACTGTACTTGGGAGGGTGACTGGGCTGGGGACACTCACTGTACTTGGGAGGGTGACTGGGCTGGGGACACTCACTGTACTTGGGAGGGTGACTGGGCTGGGGACACTCACTGTACTTGGGAGGGTGACTGGGCTGGGGACACTCACTGTACTTGGGAGGGTGACTGGGCTGGGGACACTCACTGTACTTGGGAGGGTGACTGGGCTGGGGACACTCACTGTACTTGGGAGGGTGACTGGGCTGGGGACACTCACTGTACTTGGGAGGGTGACTGGGCTGACTGGGCTAGGGACACTCACCGTACTTGGGGAAGTAAAAGACCTGGTGTTCTGTCAAGTTGGCTCCTCTGACTCGCTGCTCAAACACATTCAGGGCAGAATCACTCACCGGGAGTGAGCGGACTGTGGGACACACAGAGTTCCTTTGGTTTAACGGAGCAAGGTACCCAGGACACAACCAGGTCAGCTGTCTGTCCCTGCCCCTTCTAATCTCCATACCAGCCTGTGTGTAGCTGCTCCTTCCAGGGTGCCTGCTACTGAGAGTATTGGGATAGAAAGGAAATGGGGATCTGTGTGTCCATCTGGTGTCACCCAACCCACCAGGATGGCCCTTCGAGGTCACGTGTGGATGATGAACTAGCACGCACCATACAGCTTCACAGACAGCCTCCTCGCCTGCTCCAGATACAGGACGGCAAAGTTCTGGTAGTCGGTCTCAGCAACAACCACAGGCACTGGCCCACGGGCCCCTGGGGCAGAGGCAGAACCATAGAAACAGCACCATCAGCTCCTCAGCCCCCGCCTCCAGCTCTGTACCCCCTTGCTTGATGACCCTGCCTCACCTTGGAGCAAGAAGCGGCCAGGGACCCCGGTGTCTTCAAAGCGTTGGCGTATCTGCCAACAGATTCCATCTCTAGGGAGGGGAAGAAGGTATCATGATATAAAGAAGCACCCAAGACTCTAGGAACTCCAATCCAGATAGGGCTGTATGGGGATACCTACCCAGGCCATAGAGGAGTTAGGGGTGAGGTTTAGGGTCAAGAGGACAGAGTAAGGGGGGGGCTCAGGGGCTGGGATGAGGTGGATGTTACAGCTAGACTCACAGCTTTCGGAAGGTGCTGACAGCCATAGCTGCACCCTGGGGAGTTGTGTGCAATGTGGTGGCCTCAGCCCGGTGGCCCTGCTCCTGAAGAAAGCGGCATGCAGAGCCCACAGCCACAAGGAGCCATGTCCCTGCAAACTGGGAGTGAATTGGGAGGGCTCAGGACTGACTGAGGGAATGGGCACCCTGGGTCAATCCTGCCGACTGTTCCTTTACCTGCTCCCACTCACTCCCAGCTTTTACCTGCTCAACATTGAAATTCGCCTGGGCCTGGATGGTGCTGATAGGGGATGGAGCCCTAGAGGGCTTCCGAGCCCTTTGGCCCAGCGAAATGGATGTCAAGAGCAGGGTGAAGAACAACACAGCCCTAGGGGACAGCATGGCGGCCCAGTCAGGGACAGCAGGCGACAGGACGGGGAGGCACTGTCCCAGGTCAGAGTCCACTGTCCAGTGCCACAGGAAGCACAGCCCAGGAAGTCCACATCTGTCTTCCGTTTACTGAACCCCTACCCCAAGCTAGGGTTACCCTAGAATCTGGCCTACACAGGGGGTTGGCATTGCATCCCAAGTGCAAAGTCTGCGTTGACTTCTGCACCCCGATTTCCACTTGAGGTCAGTGCTCAACACTCTGCACGCCAGTAACTGCTCTTATCCCCACAGCCAACAACAACGTGCTCGTTAAGTTACTTGTTCAAAGCCTTAGCATCAGAGAGAGCGGGGGCCGAGTCTCGAACCCGTCCAGCTGGGCGGGTCTCGCTACTGCCGCCCTTTCGAGCAGCCAGGAGCAAGTACTGCTCTACGAGCAAGAGCGCGGGAGCACGAGCGCGCGCAGGCGCATGGAGAAACGCCGGCCCCGACTCGGAGCCCAAGGCGCAGGCGCAAGAGAAGCGGCCATCGATGCCTCGGGGCTCGCGGCGTCGAGTCTGGCTCCTCGGGAAAGACGCGGAGGCGGGGGCTAGAGCGGCGGAAGCGGGGCGCAGCGCAGCGGGCGGAGGCGCCGCGGTGAGTCCCGGCTTTGGCCCTGCAGTACTCACCTGTGTCATCTGCCCTGCCCCTCGACACCGGCCTTGTGCCCCATTACTCCCAGTTCTGCCGTCGTCAGCCTTGTGCCACTTTCGGTGTCCCCTTACCCCCGGCACTGGCGTGAGTTTATTTTCTCAGGCCTTGTCCCGGTCATGGGCCTCGCCCTGCCTTGCCCTACCTTCACCGGCCTTGTCCACTGTCACTAACTTTTTCCTGGCAATGGCTACACATGTACAGCCTTTGGTCACCTTATCTGGCCAGGGATGGTCTTGGCAGGCTGTCACCCTCCCAGTCTGCCCGGCAGTGTCAGAAGGCGAATGAAGGACCCGCTGCCCAGTCTAGCTAGGCAGCCAGTCTGATCCCTGCCGTCTGCTCCGACAGTCAGAAACCCTACCCACCCTTACCACCCTCCTGGCCAGGCTCTCTTCTGAGTCCACAAAGCAGGGGCCCCTGGCCAGGAGGAGCCCCTTCTCAGAAGAAAGTCAGCCCTAGCTTGAAGTCTTGGGGCAGCAAGGTCAAACACAGGGGTCGGGTGTCCGTCACTTGGTCTTGACTGCTAGAACTTGGGCCTGCCAGTTTGGGCAGCCCAGACCTGTTTGCCTGCCTTGGCACTCAGATGTCTTCCTGGGCTCAGGAGTATGGGGAAGGTGTCAGAGACCCCCACCTGGAAGGTATGAAGATGGGGGCCACCTCCCACTCTTGAGGGTGCACTAGGCCTAGTGGTACTGAGATGTTCACCATCTGGTCCAGCCAGTCCTTTGGTGCCCCTGGAGGATGTGAGGCTGGGGGCTTCAAGAAGGGTAGCGTGGAACAGTGCTGCTAAGCCCTCCTCTTCCCCTGCACATGCCCAGTGCAGTGGAATTCTCGGATGGGCAGTTGGTGGGGCTGCCATGTCTGGTGCCCCAGGCCCTCAGTCTCTCCCTAGGGTTGGGAGTGAGGAGGCCTGGGCTCAGAGTGGCCACTGGTGGCTTTCAGGACCGTCTGGGCAGAATGTCACGATGGATGAGGGGGGCATGCCCCTGCTCCCCGACAGCCTTATCTACCAGATCTTCCTGAGCCTGGGCCCTGCAGATGTGCTGGCCGCTGGGCTGGTGTGCCGCCAATGGCAGGCTGTATCCCGGGACGAGTTCTTATGGAGGGAGCAGTTCTACCGATACTACCAGGTGGCTCGAGATGTGCCCCGCCACCCAGGTCAGTACCCGCACACAACCTGCTAGCCTCAGAGCAAGGGCTCGGGGCTCAGGGACTGCAGCCCTGGGCCGCGTTGCTGGGAGGCCATGCCGTCAGCGCTTGGTCTGTCCTAGCAAGGGAGGCTTGCATGTAGGATTGACATTGCATTGCCCACAGCGGCCACGTCCTGGTATGAAGAGTTCCGACGGCTCTACGACATGGTACCCTGTGTGGAGGTGCAGACACTGAAGGAGCACACCGACCAGGTCCTGCACCTCAGCTTCTCCCACTCGGGGTACCAGTTTGCTTCCTGCTCCAAGGACTGCACAGTGAAGGTGAGAGCACCTCTGTCAGGCAGCAGAACTCAGTGACAAGCAGAGAGGGCCAGACGGGCCCTGGAGGCCTGATCTGGACCACACAAGACCCCCCAGTTAAGAACAGCTCTAACCTCTAGCTCTGGGGGCCAGCCCTCTGCATTGACAGGGTATGATAAGAGGGGGTGGTAAGGGGCTAGGACGAGATTCTCGCCCCAGGAGGACTCAACACCTCAGTGAGAAGAGTCAGAACTTCCGGTACTGCCAGCGTGGACTGGCCAGGTAATTACCATACGGCCCTCTGGTGCAGATCTGGAACAACGACCTGAGCATCTCTCTGCTGCACAGCGCAGATATGAGGCCGTACAACTGGAGCTACACCCAGTTCTCCCAGTTCAACCAAGATGACTCGCTGCTGCTGGCCTCAGGGGTGTTCCTGGGGCCGCACAACTCCTCCTCAGGCGAGATAGCTGTCATCAGCCTAGGTAAGTGTGGCCCTTGGGTTGGGCTGCCTGCCCCATCGTGCCCTGCCTGCTGGCAGCATGCCCAGTTGTGGCCTTCCTCCCAGACTCCTTCGCCCTGCTGTCCCGTGTGCGAAACAAGCCCTATGATGTTTTTGGCTGCTGGCTCACAGAAACCAGCCTCATTTCGGGGAACCTGCACCGCATTGGAGATATCACCTCCTGTTCAGTGCTGTGGCTCAACAATGCCTTCCAGGTTCAGACTGGGGCAGGGACAGGCTGGGCAGACAGATGGGGTAGGGCAGGGAAATAGAGAGGAAGGTGCGGGCAGGGCTGGATGTGGAAGGGCAGACGCAGGGCCCAGGGTAGGCTGCTCTCCAGGCCTGGTTCTGACCAGCACCCACCTGTTGCGGGCCTTGCCTTGTGTCCCTGTAGGATGTGGAGTCAGAGAATGTCAATGTGGTAAAGCGGCTCTTTAAGATCCAGAACCTCAACGCTAGCACCATCCGCACGGTGATGGTGGCAGACTGCAGCCGCTTTGATAGCCCGGACCTCCTGCTGGATGCTGGGGACCAGGCTGGGCTCCCCTGCCGAGTCTTCGACCTAGGTGGGGATAGTGAAGAAGAGCCCCCTGGCCCAGGTTTGCACACCTCTGGTTCTGGGCGCGTCAAGGAAGGTTTGCGGCGCATGTTGGATAGCGTGTTGGATGGACACGCACAGCTATCAGACTGTGCACTGGAGGCCAAGGTGGCTGAGCTGCTGGCCCAGGGCCACACCAAGCCCCCAGAGTGTAGCGATGCTGACACCAGGAACAAGTACCTCATCTTCACCACTGGCTGCCTCACCTACTCACCCCATCAGATCGGTAATGGTGGGCCGGGCAGAGCTGGGCCTGGGAGGGTCAGAACCACGGCGGTGCTCCCCAGACCAGCAAGTCCATAAGCACAGCTTGGATCACGCATTGGGATCCAACTCTGGCTTTGACGCATTCGATTCTGTGTAAGAATGGTGAAAACTCAGGCAGGGGATTGGTTGGCAAGTGACCAGGTGGGCAGCCATGCTTGAGTGTTCAGTGTCGGCAGTGTGTGTGGACCACGAGGGCTGTTCTTGGACTGGGAGTGCTCTGGTGGTGCTGGCCCTCCAGGCTCTGGATGACCCTCGCCCTGGTCTCCATGCAGGCATCAAACAGATCCTGCCACACCAGATGACTACAGCAGGGCCTGTGCTGGGTGAGGGCCGGGGCTCCGATGCCTTCTTTGATGCACTGGACCATGTCATTGACGTGCACGGGCACATCATTGGCATGGGCCTGTCTCCTGATAACAGGTGGGCCTAGTGTGCAGGGCGGGATACCACAGACGGCCCAGATCTAATAGCATGCTTGTACCTAACGTGTGTCCCTTGCTCAGGTACCTGTATGTGAATAGCCGCGCCTGGCCTCCTGGCTCAGTGGTAGCTGACCCCATGCAGCCACCGCCCATTGCAGAGGAGATTGACCTGCTGGTGTTTGACCTCAAGACCATGCGGGAGGTGAAGCGGGCTCTGCGAGCGCACCGTGCCTACACGCCCAATGACGAGTGCTTCTTCATCTTCTTGGATGTCAGCAGGGATTTTGTGGCCAGGTGTGGGCTCAGGTGGGCCCCTGGGCTTGGGTACGGGCTTCTGCTGGTGGGTGTGGGCTCATCCAGATGCTATCCCACAGTGGGGCTGAAGATCGGCATGGTTATATCTGGGACCGCCACTACAACATCTGCCTAGCCAAGCTGCGGCATGAAGACGTGGTCAACTCGGTGGCCTTTAGCCCCCAGGAGCAGGAGCTTTTGTTGACAGCCAGCGATGATGCCACCATCAAAGCCTGGCGCTCACCACGCACTGTTCGTGTCCTCCAGGCCCCACGCCCACGCCCACGTCCCTTCTTCTCCTGGTTTGCCAGCCATAGGCGCTGAAGGCTTCAGTGACTTGAGCCATTGGGACCCACTGGGGAAAATGATACCCTGTGGTTCTTTACTGCACTGGGGCAGAGTAGCTCATAGCAGTCATGCCTTAGGAGGGGACAGCCTGACCCCAACACTCACATGCACCTGCTCACTTAGCCGTCAGGCTCGGCACTAGGGTAGTAGCCCTTGTTGGCAGCACCAGAGATCCCATGTCAGCCTCTTGGCCAGTGCAAGTAAGTCCTGCTCTTCACTTGCCCTCTTCCCTGGGCTGGCAGCTCCACAGCTCCAGGCTGACCACTGCCTGGATACCTTTCACACTCAGCAAAACCCACACCCTTGGCTATCCTGGTGTACCCTGGGTGACAGGCCATAGGCTCTGGCCTCTGATAATTTGGCTTGTGCTACTGATTGAGCGGCCTGCAGTGACCATGGGCGCTGCATGTCGCACTTATCAACTGTTTGGGTTGATGAATAAACAGTTGGCAACAGCACCTGCCATCTAGTCTGTTCATAGGGAGGGGCCCCAGGCTGTGCCGCCTCAGGGGTCCTCCAGGAGGCGGAAGAGGAAATGCTGGTTCAGGTTTGTATCTCTGGACTTGAGGGGTGCCCGTGGGATGCCCGTCTGTGACTGGCTTAGGAGACGGCGGGCTGTAACAACCAGTACATCAGAGAGAGCTCCCAGAGCCGGGCATCCTGGCTCCTCGGGACTGAGGCAGGAGGATAGGAGTTAAAAGTCTGTCTGGGCTAGAGAACAAGTTCAGGGTTGATCTATGCAACTTGGTTAGTCCCTGGCTTAGAAAAGTAAATGAAAGCTGGGGGTTGGGGCTTAGTGGTGATAGTGCCCGCCTATCATGGGTTCAATTCCCCAAAAATACAAACTCCTAGAATGTGTGAGGACCCAAGGTGCAGAAGGGTAGCCCTAGGCCATCCTGGAGCTCCCATCATCTGTCCTATCCAATTAAGGGTTCTGTGTGTGATGGTGGCAGCTGGAAAGAGTTGGGGCTTTGACAGGGCCAGCTTCCAGAGTGACCCAAATAAGAGCTGGGTGAGTAGCCTGTTAAACTGGGATCTCATTTGAAAGCTGCTCTGCTACAAACAGAGAAAACTTATCCAGGGGACTGAGTGAACAGGGCAAGTGTCCTCCCAGGTTCAAACCAGCAGGTGAGCAGGGCTGCTTCCCATCCGTCTGGTGGGAACCATACTGGCTGCATCAAGAGGACTAGGGCAGGACACCAGGTGCAGATGGCACCGGGAAACCAGGCCTCGTCTGTGGCCTGTTGCTGAAGCTGGAGGGCAAGATGCAGCAAGTGTCCACCAGCCTGAGCAGCAGCGCCAAGGGGAAGGAGGCAGCCTCAGCTAGAAAGTATCCACAGAGCCTTCGAGGAAGGCGAGGATAAAGCAGCTGTGTAGAGGCTGGGCTGGGCTGGGCTTCCTCCCTAGCACAAAGGCAACAGTGCAGATCCATGCTACGTGAGAGGAGCTCACACTAGAAGTGCAGAGCCCAAGGCCAGCACACCCTCACAACTGCCTGCGGAGGACTTTGGATTTGTCTGATTTAAAGTCAAAAGAAAGCAGCCATCATCTATGAAACAGAAACAGCACAGTAGAGAACAAAACGGAGAAATGTAAAACTGAGCTGTGGGAAATAGCAGTACCAAACTGCAAGTTCAGCCTTTTAAATGTTGGGCTTTACTTGTCAAGCAGACCGAGCATCATGGAAGGGCAGAACGGGATAAAGAGGTAGAGATGGCACGGGGCAGGCAAGAGGGCTCAGTCAGTAAGGGAGCCTGTCACCAAGCCTCTGACTCTGCTCCTCGGGACCCACACATTAAAAGGAAAGAACCGACTCCTACAAGTTGTCCTCTGACCTCCATACGCCTACTGTGGTGTGTGTGCCCCCATATGTACAAGTAAAAAGTTTTCAAAGAAGGGAGACAACCATCTGCGCCTCCAGCAACGGTGGTGAGAGATTCAGTGTTGAAACTGAAGCCCAGCAGGGACACAGAGAAGCCTGTCACTTAGGGAAACAGTCTGGTTCCACAAACAGAACAGGGCTCGGGGCTCCAGCTCCACTGATGTGACTGCAGCTGACTCCAGCACAACAACTGAGAACCTGGAGATGTCCGCAGGCAGTGTTCACTCTGAACAGCAACCGTTGGCATGCAGGACCTGACTCCATGCAGCTAGAGCCTGGAATGAGCACCAGGACTCACTGGGCAGATCTATGCACTGAGGGAGTGAGCTGCAAGGAGTGCCCCGCACTTGCTGGGTCTCTTTTGGCCACTCTAGTGGTGGGGGACAGTCCCAAGAAGGCGGGGCACTGTGCGACTGTTCTCCATCCACTGTCCTGACACAGACACCCTACTGTGGTTCAGCCGAGGAAGGTCAGGGCAGCGAGGTGACGAGAACCCCAAATATCTGGCTAAATGGCCAAATGAGGGGCCTAAAGGGGAAGCTTAGGAAAGCACAAAGAAATTTTAACATCTGCTGGCAGACTTTAAAGTACAGACACAATAGACATTGTGAGAATTCTACATTTTGAATTAAAGTTCAAAGTAACAACCCCAAGCAGCTCACTGAAAATGTAAATGCATATCTAATGTTTTCTTGACTTTGTGGGCACCAGGCAGCACTTTTGGGGGCCAGAGGGAGTGGGTTTTCTCCCACCGTGTGGGTTCTGGGGGTTAGACTCGGGTCCTCAGGCTTGGCAGCAAGCACCTTGCTGAATGAACCTTCTCAGTGTCTCTAATGTGTATTCTTTCTTTAGAACGCCAAAACTGCTATACAAAGAGATAGAATTAGCAGAACACAGGCAAACCAGTGGAACACAAGAAATAAGCATGATAAGCATGATAAAAATGATATTAAAAAAGAACTTAAAACAAAAACAAGGAATCATTATGTAGCCCAGGCTGGCCTCACACTTTAGATCCTTCTGCTGAGGCCTCCTGAGAGATGGGTTGGTAGGTGTGAACTACCACATACTGAATAAAAGCTTTCATCCAATTCTGCTGTGAGACCTGGCAGCAAGTCCACAGCACAGCTAGGTTAGAGAACAGACAACTGTCACCCCAGAACCCAGGTGACAAGAGTTGCCTCCCTAGAGCCATCAAAGTCAGCACACAGGAAAAGCAGCAGTGTCCGGAACGGCTCTCTGTGGAGAAGGGAACTTTAGCAAGAGCCTCAGATGGAGAAAAAATAAAGCAGCCCAGAGCTGTGGGGCAGCCTAGTGACAGCCAGCGTCCCAGACAGAGCTGCTGCTGCTGCACAGAGGGCTCCAGAAGGCACAAGTAACAGGGTCCATGGCTCTGGAGGTCAACAGGGCCAAGAGGATTTCCCTTTCTTGGCTCCTGGTGACTTGAACCAATCTCTTTGTTTTTTTGAGACAGAGTTTCTCTGTGTAATAGCCCTAGCTGTCCTGAAACTAGCTCTTGTAGACCAGGCTGGCCTTGAATTCACAGAGATCCGCCTGCTTCTGCCTCCTGAGTGCTGAGATTAATGGCATGTGCCACCAGGCAACTTGAACCGATCTTGGTTTGTGGCAGCAGCATTCCTGTCTTCTGTCCTCCCCCATAACCTGTCACCTTTGCTATGTGTATGTCAGAAGCTCCTCTTTTTATAGACATTGGACTATAAAAAAGTGAATCAGGAACCACTTTGATGTAGGGTGTTAGAATTCAGCCTCTGACAAGGAACTAACTGCAGGTAACAGGTCTCTGCAGAATGTCCGACCCACTAGCAGGACATACTCCTCCTACAGCGCCCAGAGAAAACCCACTAAGTCAGACCACAGCGCCTCCAGGCTTTTTTAAATACCGAGTAGTCCTGTGTCTCCGTCCACTCCATGCACTAACAACCCCACAGCCCAAGAGGCTCCCGGACAATAGTTTATCTCTCGCAGTTCTGGAGGCTGCAGACTCAATGCCCTGGGAGCGCTGTCCTGGGTAAGAAAGGCTATCTTCTGACAGATCTCACATGGTGGAGGCATGAGCACCCTTTCCCAGGCCCACAACGGTTCTATCTTTACGATCCACCTCTAAAACACTTCCAATCACTGTCTCATTGGAGACGTTTCAACATATGAATTTGGGTGAAACAAAATATTTAGTCTCATCGTAGTCTATTCTTGCTGCTATAAAAGGACACCCGAGGCTAGCTAACATGTGACCCACAATGTCACTGGCTTGCTGCTCTGGGGGCCAGGAGGTCCAGGAGGAAGGAGCCAACACGCGGTGAGAGCTGGAGCACATCACTGTTTGGTGGGAGAGAGAACCAGAGGGGCTGGAACTCACCTTTCTATAATGGCACCATGAACGTGGGGCCTTTACTCCCTAATTTTCGCTAAATACTGTTAGAATGATTATTAAATTTCAACACGAGAGGCTGGAGAGATGGCCCAGCAGTTAAGAGCACTGGCTGCTCTTGTTCTGAGTTCAATTCCCGGAAACCACGAGGTGGCTCCCAATAATCTCTAGTGGGATCTGATGCCCTCTTCTGGAATAAAGGTGTGCATGCAGGTAGAGCACTCAGATAAAATAAATCAGTCTTAACTGAGCTGGGTGGCACATGCCATTTAATCTCAGCACTTGGGAGGCAGAAACAGGTAGATCTCTGAGAGTTTGAGGCCAGCCTTCTTCCTACAAAGCAAGTTCCAGGACAGCTAAGGCCCTGTCTTGAAAAACAAGCAACAACAAAAAACATTCCTTCTATCCAAAAAGTTCACAAATCTTTAATTTTTTAAAAATTAATCTCAGCATTCTGGAGTCAGAGCCAGGCGGATCTCTGAGTTTGAGGCCCACGTGGTCTACAGAGCGAGTTCCAGGACAGTCAGGACAGTCGGGGCTACACAGAGAAACCCTGTCTTTAAAAACAAAATTATTTGTATGTATGGGTATTTTGCCTTCATGCATTTTGGTGTATCAGGCGTACGCAGTGCCTGAGAAAGCCAGAAGAGGGCATCAGATCCCAGGGTATGGGAGTTAGAGAGCTCTGACCCACCATATGGATTCTGAGACTCAAACCCAGGTCCTCTGGAAAAGTGGTCACTTAGCCAGGCGATGGTGGCGCACGCCTTTAATCCCAGCACTCGGGAGGCAGAGGTAGGCGGATCTCTGTGAGTTCGAGACCAGCCTGGTCTACAGAGCTAGTTCCAGGACAGGCTCCAAAGCCACAGAGAAACCCTGTCTCGAAAAACCAAAAAAAAAAAAAAAGAAAAGTGGTCACTTAACAACTGAGCCATCTCTCCGCGCCCCTAAAATCTCCAAAACTTTTTTTTTTTTTTTTGCTTTTTCGAGACAGGGTTTCTCTGTGGTTTTGGAGCCTGTCCTGGAACTAGTTCTTGTAAACCAGGCTGGTCTCGAACTCACAGAGATCCGCCTGCCTCTGCCTCCCAAGTGCTGGGATTAAAGGCATGCGCCACCACCGCCCGGCCCCAGCCCCAAATCTTAATACCAGCTCACAAGTCGTGGATCCAGTCAAGAGTCTTGTCTGAAACAGATATGGGTAAGGTACATTCACAGAATGTAAATACCCCGCCACCTAGAAAATTTGAGACAAATAAAAGAAACATCTCCAAGGTACTACTGTGGGGCAGACATCATATAGGCTGTTTATTCCAGAGGGGAAAAACATTGGAGACAAAGCAAGAACCAGGCCCCAGAATATCCAAAACCCAACAGGGCAAACCCTGTGAAATTCTAGCACTGGAGAATTGTCTTTCATTTGCCTTCTAGCAGTTCACAGCAGGACTGTTGACTGCAGTTCTCCTGGGCAGGCGTTGCACTGGGTGCTGTCCCGATGGTCAGTCTGCAGTGGCTTTGCCCCTATAATGTCCAGGGCCCTCTACCTCTGCAACCTTCCCGGCTAGCTGGGGTCCCTATGGCTCAGCTACATGAGATGCACCTGCAACACGATGGTCAGGAGGCAGCCCCGTCACACTGCAGGTGTTCCCAGGGCTCTCTTCTGCACCCGCACCAGAGTCTCCTTCGACACCTGATGGAAATCCAGGCCTTTTCTAGTCCTCCCAGCTCCATCCATTACCCCGTTCCAAAGTCACTTCTATCCACACACACCAAACACATATTAAAAGCAAATTTTAAAAGGCATCTGTAAGCTGGGCGGTGGTGGCACATTCCTTTAATCCCAGCACTTGGGAGACAGAGGCAGGTGGATCTCTGTGAGTTCGAGGCCAGCCTGGTCTACAAGAGCTAATTCCAGGACAGACTCCAACGCTACAGAGAAACCCTGTCATGAAAAACAGGGAATCATGAAAAAAAGGCATCAGTAGCCAGCCGCCATTTCCTGGGCACTTTCCTCTGGTGGCCTTCCATCTCCTGAGGAACCACCCCCTGGCTCTGCTTCTTTGTGCTCCCACGATTCCTCTGGGGACATTTCTGTCTCTCCATTTTCTACAACAGTTTCTGAAAGGTCCATGCTAACAGCTGAATTTGAGCCTTCACACAATGATGACTCACAATTATTTTTTAAAAAAGAAAACAAACTGTCAGAAATGATGGAGGGAGAAGAAATAGCAAAACCTAAGTCGGTGGTGGCACCACCAGGTGCTCCTAAGAAAGAACATGTAAATGCAGTGTTCATTGGGCATGTTGAATGTATTTAACTGGAATGGTCGACAAAAGGACACATGAGAAATACCAACGAGAAGCTCAAGAAAAAAACAGAGAAACTTGGTACTTGTCTTTGGCCTTGGACACAAACCAGGAAGAATGAGACAAGGGGAAAACAGCAGAGGTAGGCCGTGCCTATTTTGAAATGATCCAACAGTAACTGGAGCAACGAGAGCTATGAAGAATGTAAAGAAAAACTAGTACCATTTCTGAAAAAAGTTGGCTTCAACCCCAAAAAGGACATTCATTTTATGCCCTGCTCAGGACTGACGGGAGCAAATCCCAAAGAGCAATCAGATTTCTGTCCCTGTGGTCCTGGGAAAGCTGGAATCTGAATCTATCTGTGAAGGCCAGCAGCTAGTGAGGACTCCCAACAAGCACAAAGTGGAAGTTCTTGGATTACTTTCTGAGGATGTAGAAACAGATTCTGTAGCTCCAGGTGAAAACCTCAAAATCAGACTGAAAGGAATTGAAGAGGAGATTCATCCAGGACGCACCCTTTGTGATCTTAATAATTTCTGTCATTCTGGACGTACATTGGATGCCCAGATAGTGATCAGAGTACAAATCCATCATCATCTGCCCAGGGTACAGTGCGGTGCTGCATATCCATACCTGTACCGAGGAGGTTGAAATGACAGCCTTAATCTGCTTGGCAGACAAAAAAATCAGGAGAAAAAGGTAAGACTCAACCTCGTTTTGTGAAAGATCAAGTATGCATTGCGCGTTTGAGGGCAGCAGGGACCATCTGTCTGGAGACCTTTAAAGACTTCCCTCAGATGGGACGCTCCACCTTACGAGTTGAGGCCCATCTTCATTTTCTGATTCACCCCAGTTAGGTCTGCTCCAATGTTGTTGAAGACCTTGTCAATCTGACTTCCTGCACGTGTAACACTTGTCTCCTCGGAAGCATCATTTGATTTCCCATCTCCAAAGACCTCCGCTGCTCCTGCATCATGAGAAGCTGCTCCAGCTAGTCCTGTGCTCAGACTCCAGTCTGTTCAGCATCTCCTAATGACAGCAATCAAAGAGCTGAACTTATTGAGGTTAAGATTGTTTCGATACTGAGGAGAATGAGATGAGGAAGTACTTTTCCAGCCAGCTGCTCTTTGGTGATTCCCAGTTTCTTGTGAGTGAAAGTACACTTATAGATATCTAGAATCCCCATGAGGACCGCAGGCTCCTTGTAAGGGTAGGATATCATCAGGTACAAACCACTTATCCAAGTACTCCAAAATCTTGCCTAAACAGACTAATGAATTCACACGAACAGCAAGGGAAGATGTTTGTAAACAGGCATTTTTAATTCTTGGAATCAAAGCGTTTTTCATGGATGGGTAGTGTATGAGATTTGCAAAAGTTGGGATGATGATCAGACAGAGCTCCTGGGTCTGAATGGAAGGTGTCTCTGGAGCTCTGTAGACCACGGACTGTTCTTTATCTCGTCAGGAGGGGTTTTGGTTAGGAGCAAATCCATTTTTTGTAGAAAAATTAACAAAATCTGGACTGGCTCCTGCTGTTTAAACACAGGACCAAGTTCAGGAAGAATTAATCTGACATATTCTTCTTTGGCGCACTCCTCAGCACTCAATAAAACATTGGGTAAAACAAAAGGTACCATATGAGGGTTTACAAATTCTGAAGTCAAACAAGGCAATTCTCTGAGCGATGACACGCTTGGGCAGCTTTGGCAGAACCTTCAGCAATCCTTTGAAGAACTGGGATTTCTGAAGATTATCTCTTTGGAATAAGGTATCAAAATATTGAAGTGTGACTGCACCAACATCATCGAAGAAGGGAATTTTTGTCATCTGATCTGTGTCGGGTCTTACAGGTGGGGTCACATTTAGCAAGAGTTTGACATGCTAGATCCTCAACTGATCCAACTGTCTACTGAAGCTCTTGTAAACATCCTGCTTGTTGACTTCAAATATAGGTTTCCTTTATTACAGACGGCACACCTAACAGCCCCTAAACACCACATATCGCTGGTCATCTCACAGCTCACAGAGAGGATGTACACAGGAGACAAGTATTCAGGATGTGAAAGACACAGCGACAGCAAGACCATTGCAATTGGAAAAGTTCTGAAACTGGTTCCAGAGAAAGACTAAGCATATTCCTGATGACCCTGCGCAATACTGTGAGGAATACTGACTGCAAAAGTCTATTCACACCGCCTTATTTTCTGCCCACTGACAAACCTCTCCCCATATTTTGCAAAGAAAATTCACAGCAAAAGCCCACATTATGTCAGCTTTCTCATATGAGAGCTCTGCTATGCCACTGTTGAATTTTCCCCAAGACTTTGCCCCCCTTTCAAACTTTGCTTCCTCGGACAGATTTGGTAATAGCGTTGTAAGTGATGTGGACATAATTGCCTACAATAATGAAAACCTACAGGAATTTTTTATTTTTCATTTTCCCCTTAGGCATAGTTAAGTCTTTTTCCCCTAGGCAGCTCATTCTGAATGTGCTAGTGTGTGTGCACATTAATAAAATATTCAATTTGGAAAAAAATGTATTCCATGCATCTACGAAAACATTATCTAGGTATCAAATTTTTCTTTTTCTCCTGAGATAGGGTTTTTCAGTGTAGCCTTGGCTATCTTGGAACTAGCTCTGTAGACCAGGTTGGCCTCAAACTCACAGAGATCCAACCTGCCTCTGCCTCTTGAGTGCTGGGACTGAAGGTATATGCCTACCATGCCCAGCCGTCTGTGGATACCTTTCTCTTGCCAACCACAGTTCCACCTTCTGTGTCTTGGAATCACACACAGTAGGATGGAACCCAGGGCCTGTGCATGACAAGCGTGTTCTACCACGCACTGCACCCGCAGCCCCTCTACTTCTCTTTAACTCTGGTGGAACAATCTACCAGTTTGGGGCTAAGGTTGGTAGAGAGCTTGCAGGAGGCCTGGAGTTCAGTCTCCAATACCACATAAGCCAGAGACAGTGGCAGACACTTGAATGACAGTACTTGGGCTGAGGCAGAAAGATCAGAAGTTCAAAGTTACCCTTGGCTACTTGGAGAGTTAGAGGCCAGCTCAGACTAGAGATGCCTTAAAAAAAAAACACCAAGTGGTGCTGGCACACCACACGCCTTTAATCCCAGCACTCGGGAGGCAGAGACAGGTGAATCTCTGTGAATTTGGGGCCAGTCTGGTTTACAGAGCGAGGTCCAGGACAGGCTTGAAACCCTGTCTTGAAAAACAAAACAAAACAAAAAAATTACCAGCGGGGCATGGTGGTGGAGACCTTTAATCCCACTTAGGAGGCAGAAGTAGGCAGATCTCTGTGAGTTCAAAGCTAGTATGATGTACATGGAGAGCTCCAGAACAGTCAGGACCACATAGAAAAAACCCAGCCTCAGCGTGAATTACCTAATTAATTCTAGGTTTTTTTTTTTTTTTTTTTTTTTGCTTTTTTTCGAGACAGGGTTTCTCTGTGGTTTTGGAGCCTGTCCTGGAACTAGCTCTTGTAGACCAGGCTGGTCTTGAACTCACAGAGATCCGCCTGCCTCTGCCTCCCAAGTGCTGGGATTAAAGGTGTGCACCACCACTGCCCGGCATTAATTCTAGTTTTAAAATGGACGCATTTCTAGAAAAAAAAAACACACACATTATAAACAAATGAACTGCTAAATATAGAAACCCACTGATAGAAACAGACTTTAAAACCATTATTTAACTAATCGTCTCAACTTTGAATTTTTCTACACCAAAAAAGTTCAAACACTGGGAGGCAGAAGCAGGCTGATCTCTGAATTCAAGACCAGCCTGATCTACAAAGCAAGTTCCAGGACAGCCAGAACAGCTATACAGAGAAACCTTGTCTCAGAGAAAGAAGATCAAACACAATGAAGGATCAATGATAGAAGATCAGAAATTTCTTTCTTTTTTCCCAGACAAGGTTTTTCGGTGTAGCTTTGGAGCCTGTCCTGGCACTCGGTTCTGTAGACCAGGCTGGTCTCAAACTCAGAGATCCTCCTGTTTCTGCCTCCCAAGTGCTGGGATTAAAGGCGTGCACCACCACGTTGGACTAGAAAGATCAGAAACTTTTACTAAGCAGGAAGAAAGTAGAAAAATGAACAGAAATGGCCAATTCCTATGGAGAAATCCCAGAGCAATAATCTGGTAAAGATGCCCAGAGTCCTCAGAGAAGTACAAGTCACAAGACATACAGGTCACACACAGCCCTCGTGAAAAGCTGCAGGGAGAGGCCACTGCCCACATGCTATATGCTGTAAGGCACTTGATGCAGTTCTCTGCAGAGCAAGTACAAAATATCTAAGGGATAACCATATGACCCCAACTCCTGGGGCCACAGGTGACAGGCAGGCCGAGACCAGCTTAAGAATGCGGGAGAAAAAGACAAGATGTATCCTCCACCAGCAAGCCACAGGGCGGTCAGGTGAGGCCAGTTCTCTGCTATGACGCCATCCCATGCTGTTTCTGTATGCTTTAAAACCAACACACACGGTGTGGGAACTCAGAAGAGAACAGGAACAGGTCAAGAGGGCAGCGTCTCCTCAATCACAGCATGCTCACAGCTGCTGCTCTCCCCATTTCCTACTGTGGTGACCTGAAAATGAACTGAGGGAGACTGGATACCCTTCTGACTAATAAAGATGCCCAGGACCCAGACCATAGTGTCTCTACTCCAACCCAGTCCAAAGAGTGAACCAGTCCAGAACCCTGAGGAAAAAATCCTGCACATGGGCCAGACCAAAGGTCAGCCCTTCACCTCTACCCAGGCAGACCCAGGATGCAGAGATCACATGGAAACTTGGGGGCTCGAAGGGCATAAGAAGCAGAGACAGCCAATGTGGAGAGGAAAGCAGAGGCCACAGGGTCACCACTACCTGGGCTGGAGCCAGCAGGCAACCCAGAGTCAGATGAACACCACTCGTCATAGACGTTGAATAGTTTAATCACTTCTCCCCAGTACAGGCCACCTGGCAGGGCTGTGCAGCCCAGGCAGGCTCCTCTCCGGTGTGCCTACGTCTCAGAGGGCTTCTTTCCTGGGCTATGCTTTGTGGGTGGATGCCCTTCTCCTGTGCAGCCCCTACCTCCTGTCCAAGAGTGGGTAAGGTCAACTACCACTCTTGCCGCTGGTGTAGCTCTGAAGCTCTCGAGAGAGGCTCTTTCTGAGTACCCCACCCAAGGGCCTCTCCCTTCCCCAGACAGAAAAGCAAGAGCTTTTCTACTGGAAAGCCGAGAAGACCCCACCAGCTGGTCCCACAAGGACCCTGAGCTGAATGGACCGTCCACTCAGTCTACCAGTTGAGGACCAACTGGAGGCTCCTTCCTGCCTTTCCGTGTAATGGTGACTGGCTTTAGGCTGAGGCCCTTCCCAGCACTCGCACCAAGCCTGCCCACCCATGTGTGGCAGGGCCGTGGCCCAGTGTGGCAGCTCCTCACTGAGCTGCTATAGTAGGGATGGCTAGAGTCCTGTCAGGTCCACAATAGCTTTGATGAAGATAGCATCATCCCGCACATAGGAATTCTTGGCTTCCATCTTGGACACAGGACAGAAGAGGGGGCAGCCACTGGCGATATTCATGTCACTGACAGGCCTCTGGAAAGAGGATGAGGTAACATCAGGCCTGAATGCGTCGATGACATGCTCCCGGTTGTTCTGGTCCAGCAACATCAATGTTACCTGAGAGAAGTCAATCCAGAAAGGGAACAATGTGCCTGTGAGTCACCTGAAAACCCCACATTAGTCCTACCCTGCCTCAGTAGACTAGACACTGGCCACAGTGCATCCAGCTTCCCGCCTGGGAACAGCACATGCCCACGCTGGAAGCATCTGGAAACGGAGGCTAGAGCTTAGCACTACACACTGTATTCAGGGTGCTGCTCCTTTCTAGTGTTCATCTACAGACATTTTCTTGCGGAGATCCTGAAGCTTGCTGGAAGCACTTCACAACTAGAGTGGGGGCTGACTGCAGGCCACGGACTGGTCAGGCCACTGGGCCTTCTGCCTCCTCCACTGGCTTCCAGTGAGAGAGCTGGGCCCTGAATGAAGGGACCGTCCTCAGTCCAATCTGGTCTCTGCAAGTTTCAGCTCCTTAATTAAGGCAGACTCTGGTTTTAAACAGTCACACACCCTCACTCCAACAGCCACAGAGAGGGGCTCTGTGGGTGTGGCCTTCCCTTGAAGCATACTTCCCCAGGAGACTTTCACACACATCAGTCATGAAGCTGGGCGTGTGTGTCACACCACCAACAGGCCTGGGCTGGACAGACTTTGTCTTGGACTACCTGGCTATTTGGAAGCTGTGCCCAACCTCACTCACATATTCCCCCAAGGATCCTGGCTTTCATACCTTCTGGTTAAAAGGCCACCGCAGGAGGGCATCATTGGGACCTTTCATCACCACGAAGAAGAGAGACAGGTGCGTTCCCCGTCCAGTGCCATCGCCATTCAGGTAGACGCGCAGACACATCTTGTAGCCATATCTGCTTGTGTAGAAGGCTGAAGTACGGAAAGGGCCAGTGAGGACAGGGCAGGACACAGCTCATCCACTCACAGTCCACCCTCAGCGATGTGAAAACGTAATCTCCAGCTTTTGGGAATTATCAAGGGATGATCTTCCTCTCAGAAGAAACCTCCCAGCCCCCAGACAATTTTGCCATGCAGCTCAGGAAAGCCCCCAACTACAATTCCTCCTACCCTATCTTCAGAAATGTTACTAGTGTGTATGCTCACATGCAATACCACAGGAAGAAGCATGTGTGCTATGACATGTATGTAGAAGCCAAAGGACAACTGTGTAGAGGCACTTTTCTTCTTCCGGTTTTTTGAGATAAGGTCTTCCTAGGTAGTCCTGAAACTTACTAGATAGATCAGGCTAGCCTCAAACTCATCTACCTGCTTCTGCCTCCTAAGAGCTGGGATTAAAGGCCCGCGTCACCACATCTGGCTCTCTCCTACTACCTTTTTGTTTTGAACAGGGTTTGTGTCGTCCTGTGCCACCAATGCTTGACTTCTCCTACTCTTCCCCGCCCCCTTCAAGACAGGGTTTAGCTAAGTAAACCAGGCTGACCTTGAACTCACAGAGATCCACCCACCTCTGACTCCCAGTGCAGGGATAAAGGGCGCACACCACCACTACCAGGCCTCTCCTACGACTTTTACTGTGGATTCCAGAGACCAGTCTCACAAACCCAGTGAGCCTTCTTGCTGCATCCCGCCCTTAGAATTAACAATGATAAACTATGGTGGCAAAAACACAGTAGCTGAGGTCCTCAGAGAGCTATAAAGGGAGTGCAGGCCACAGGAACCCAAGCCTGCCTCAGCAGAAGCATCTGAGGAGCAGGAATACAGATCAGCAGTCAATGTCCCTCAGCCCCTACAGTAGTGGTTCTCAACCTGTGGGGCGCGACCATTTTGGGGATAGTGTATCAGATACCCTACACATCAGATATTTCCATCATGAGTCATAATAGCAAAATTACAATTATGAAGTAGTAACAAGATTAATTTTATGGTTTGGGGTCACCACTATATGAGGAACACATAAAGGGTCACAGCATTAGGAAGGTTGAGAACCACGCTCTATAGGTAATAAACAGCCAGAACACGGTTAAGGCTGTGTAAGACAAAGCCTCCCAACACGAGTTCAAGTTCAGCCAGGGTGATACATCTGAGGCCACCTTGGCTATGGGCTATAGTGTGAAACCCTGCCTCAAAAAAAAAAAAAACAAAAAAAAAACCCAGTAAAAGACAAACAACATACTGTTAAGAGCAAACAAAACATGTAAACAGCTGATGGTGAGGTGGATCCATCAACTCTGAACAAAAATAAGGAAAACCAAACTGGTGTCCCTGCCCTGGGGGTAGGACCTGCCTCTGAAGTCAGACATCAGGCTTTTCAGTTTCCACTTGACGCTGGCCTACAGTAGAACTCAGCAGCTGCACGTGCTGTAGGTGGGTCTGCAATGCCCCACCCCATGGCTATCTGTTAAGGGCGCTGCTGCCTGGAGAGGTTGTTCAGTCCCCGAGGGTGTGCCCTTGAAGGAGACAGTGGGGTCTCTGGCTGGGAAGTGAACAGCTGTAACCACAGGCTGCTGCCGCATGTCAAAGCAGAGTGGCTGATCAACGCTGGACTGGAACCTCTAGAGCTGTGAGTCAAAGTGCATCCTCTCAAGGGAGAGCTCAGCAGTACAGTATTCAGGTGGCTTTGCTCCCAAAAGGCTGCCTGCTACAGTGACCCTCACAGCAACAGGACTGTCCATGCTCCGCTGACCCACCAGAGCTAAGCCTCTGCAGCAAGGCTCCAAATGCAGTGCTAAAACTGCCTCCCTTGTTCCTTGTAGTCTTTGCCTGCTACATTGGTGACCAACCATATCCAAAGCAGACCTTTCACACAGACAGCTTTCCCTGTCTACGGCCCCAGGAAGACTGCTGCAAAGGACATGGGCTCCTCAGGCTCCCTTACCATGCTCACTACGGAACCACTATGGAACTCCTGTAACCTGAGCCTACACACTCCACCGGCTACCACCTACTAAATCACCTGCAAGCGGAGACACTGCCAACATAGACTACCCAAGTCTAGAAATAGTATCAGGCACTCCAGGCTGCCCACGTGTACCTTGAGCTCTCCCCTAAAACAGAGAGGACAGGGTCTCTAGGTTTGTTTTCTTCTAGCCCTTGCTGACACTGCTGTGAGGACATGCTGCAGAGCTGAGTGGGGTGCTCAGTCTTAAGCAGCAAGGGCAGGAACGCCCGGCGAGTGTCAAGGCCCCAGCCTTGATCCCAGAACCTCTACTACAGTAGCAGTTTTGTAAGATGAAGTATGTGCAGGCTGAGTTCCGACAGGTGACGACATTATGAAGTAAGTGGCTGAGCAAGAAGATACGAATAAGGGACAAAGACAAAGGCCTGGGCCATCACACGGTCTATGGGCACCTCTAGGGACACACAGGGGAACTGTGAAAAACAGAGCAAGGCAGGCACAGTGGCATGGTCAGAGTGCAAAGGAAGGAGCACAAGGGACGCAAACTACCCTGCAGAGACACACACCCTCCCTTCAGCTCCCAGTGGTACCCTATGGAGAAGAGCACCCTACAAAGACCCTATAGGTGGATATGAGAAAGGAGAGTGAGGAACATCCTCAAAGGCTTCCTGCTTGCAGCAAATACCAAACCTGAAACTGGGAGTCAGGCAAGTTTGGAGCCATGGCCCTGCTTGGAAAGGTCTGTCTTTCCTTATTCACCCAAAAGCCACCACACTCATCTGTAGGTGACAAGGGACATACTCTATACACATATATCCTGGCACCCAACAGCTCCTCATACCTATAGACTCCCAACTGAGTAGGGTATGTTGCCCAATTTGCTTCTCAAGAAGATGCAGACACTCCTGGTGCCAGCTGAGTATGTGCCCTGCCCCAGCCAGAGAACCATTCCATACAAGCCTCTGAAGCAGACGGGAAGACCACAAATGGCACCTGGGGAGAAGATGGCGGGTGTACGGCCAGCTACAGCTTCCTGGCGCTTTCTGGCAAAGTCTGAGATCTTCCAGATGAAGACTCCATCATAGGTGGATGCTTCCAACTCTGAGACCTTCTGCTCCAGGTCGGCCATGGCCAGGTCCTTGAGGCCAATGCTCCTCTCTAGTTGCTGCACCTGCAGAGCAGAGATCACTTAACTCTGATAAGAAGACATGGACCTAACTGCTATATTCTATGCACCCTGAGCTCCCATTTCCCACACTGCTAGCCTTTGGAAGTCTCTGGAGTCTTTTCTGTCCCCAAGAGCTACATACTAAATGTGAGGTAGAGGTACACGTTCCACTTCACTACATGTACCCAGGAGCTTCACCAACCCAGCACACTGTATCACCGATGCTGTGTCCTCCCAGGCCTTGCTAGCCCATCAAACCCTGTGGCTGAGTCTAATGTCTATGCTGTACAGGCTCCAGAGATGCAGAACTTGCTATCCCCACTAGGCACAAACCTTGTTACTCAGCGCCTCTATCTTGTCCTGGTCTAGCCGGTGCTGCCGGCTACACGCCTCTGCAGTCACTGCCACCCTCTCCACCTCCCGGTTCAGGACACAGACAATGTTCTCGAAGGTGGCTGTCTTCTGTTCTAAGGTGTGGCACCGCTGCAACAGCTCTGGCCCCACCTGGCTTTGGGTTCCCTGTGAGGCTGGGGACTCCAGGAATGAGTTCAGCAACAGGGCCAGGTGTTCCCGCAGCCTCTGCACCTCGTGATCCTGCAGCTCTTCAGTCTCCACCTGTGGGACAGGACAGTGTTTGTACAGAACCAGCCCAGGTGGTGCGGCACCATGGCCACACTGCACTGAGGGACATGTGGTTGTTATCTCGAGATAGACACTGCTCCAGCACCTGCCTGCCTGATGCCATGCTGCCCCACCATGGTAGTCATGAATTCTACCCTTCTGAACTGTTAAGTCCCAAATAAACTCTTTCTTCTAAAAGTTGCCTTGGTCATGGTGTCATTACACAATTAAAAAAAAAGTAACTAAGATACAACTAAATATTTTCAAACTTGTGCACACAATTTTTTAAAGTGATGTACTTATTTTTATTTTGTGCATATTAGTGTTTTGTCTGCATATATGTCTGTTCCCCTGCAATTGAAGCTACAATAGTTGTGAGCTGCCATGTAGGTGCCAGGAACTGAACCTAGGTCCTCTGGAAGAGCAGCTAGTGTTCTTAACCGCTGAGCCATCTCTCTAGCCCTTTGTGTAAACAATTTTGAAAAGTTAGATTTCAAAATTACAATATCATTACACTGTGTGCTAATTAAGAAAAATAAAAAGGCGCAGTGGCAAATGCTTTCAATTCCAGCATTCAAGTGGCAGAGACAGATGGATTTCTATGAGTGCAAGGCCAGCCTGGTCTACATACTAAGTTTAAGACCAGCCTGGGCAGGGCTGGAGAGATGGCTCAGTGGGTTAAGAGCATTGCATGCTCTTCCAAAGGTCTTGAGTTCAATTCCCAGCAACCACATGGTGGCTCACAACCATCTGTAATGAGGTCTGGTGCCCTCTTCTGGCCTGCAGACAGACTATTGTATACATAATAAAGAAATAAATATTTAAAAAAAAAAAAAAAAAGACCAGCCTGGGCTATATAGTAAAAATCTGTTTCAAAAACAAAAACAAAACATCAAAAATCAAAAACCAAATCCAACCTAAAACAAAACCAAGGCTGGCAAGATGGCTTAGCATGAAACTGTGCTGTCACCAAGCCTGATAACCTGAATTTAACCCCTGGGACTCATATGCTGGAAGGACAGAACCAACTCTGAAAGCTGTCCACGGTTTCACATGGATACCAGGGCTTACACACAAGCACACAAAATAAATGTAATAAAAATATTTACAAAACATAAGTAAAAAGACACCAAGACACCCGAGCCCCCAGTAACAGGAGGCCCAGCAGGAAATGTATGTGCACATCACAGGGCAGGCGGCAGCTGGAACTAAGATGAACACAAAAGGACATGCCATCTGCTCAGTAGCTTCTCCTGCAGGGGCCAGCAAGGTCACACAGAGCTAGAGCTTAACTGGAGCACCCTATGAACTGAAAAGGCCCAGGACCGAGGTGACAGCAGCTCGGTTTCTGGGTAGCTTCTAAACTACCTTCTGCAGGGAACTCAGTTGTTTTGAAATGGAGGTAGCAACTATCCCCACCTCCAACAGAAGAGGAGAGAGATGCTGTGTCACCAGACACCACATCCTCAGCTTGCCTTCTCTTACCCTTAATGTACACACCCTACAGGCCCTCTGTGGACCAGCACATGGTCATGAGTCACAATGGGAAATAATGTCCAGGGGCTCCCACTGTACAGATAAAGAGGGATAATAAATGGAGAAATAGCTTGTGCAGGATGAAAATGAAGGAGGGGGCAGGTCTACATGAACAGAGAAGGGGCACATGGGGACAGGGACCTGTGGAGACCAGAAGGAGTCACCAGAAACATAGCAAAACAAAGGGGGAATAGGGAGTGGGGAGAAGTCAGCTTCTTCAAGGACAGCGAAGTCAGTGACCAGGGCAGAGACCAGCGGTCTTGGGAGAGAGAGACGATGGTAACCGTGAATCAAATTTTGGTGAGGCCACATGAGGGTCATATCTTGCTTTTACTTTAACAGATCAGAGCAGCAGAGTGGTCAGAAGGTACCCAAGCAACATAGGAAGCCTGTCTCCAGGCAGGAGATAAAGTAACAAAACAGGACTTCAAGGGACAGGAGCCATCTGCCAACAGCCAAGGATTTATTATTATTTATGTGACTATGAGACAAGAAAAGGATCTTGCAGACCATGAGGCACTGGGGCTTTAGCTAGACAACTGAGTAATCAATGTGCTTTTTTTCCCCCTGGGAAAGATGGGAAGAGGGTGGAGAACAAGGAGCTAGAAGGTCAAGGTGTACTCTAAGGTGTCCATCAGATGTCAGAAGCATATATATTTAGGTACTCTCAGAGATAAGTAGTGATCAAAGCCACCTAGAGATTTCCATGGAGTAAGCCTGGACACCTGAGGGCAGGAAGAAGGATTACTGAGAGATGGCCAGGGGAGATACCAGAGAGGCTGAGGAACCTTGGAGGAGCCAAAGCTGGAGACAGGTTAGCATAACAGAAAGACCCAGCCAGGCCCCCAGCCCCTAACAGCAGACTCTTGGCTTACCATCTCAGGACAGCCCACGGTGTGGAATCTGCAGGGAACCCGACACTTGCTGCATGCTCTAACATGGTCCTGAAACTGAAGGATCAGGAGGATAAAGTTACCAGCGTCACTGTCATTACTAAGGGTCTTCCCTACCTCACTAGGGCCATTTGCTTAAGGTACTGATCAAGTCAGAATTAACAAAAGAAACCACTAGTTGTACCCTATGGGCCTTCTCATTGTCATGCAAGATTAAGATAAAACAAGCCACTTCCATTGTCAATCACTGGGAAGCAGACTTTTCAGGACTGCGGTGGAAAAGTCTACCTCCTGGTTTTGGGTCAGATCCATGCCACACAGAAAGCAAGCCAGCTGTTATGTCTGTCAGGTTTTTTTTTTTTTTTTTGTTCCTGGGTTTTTTTTTTTTTTTTTTTTTTTTTTTTTGAGACAGGGTTTCTCTGTGTAACAATCCTAGCTGTCTTAGAACTTGTTCTTGTAGACCTGGCTGGCCTCGAACTCACAGATATCTGCCTACCTCTGCCTCCCGAATGCTGGGATTAAAGGTGTGCGCTACCACCGCCCAGCACTTCTGTCAGTCTTGGGAGTAGACAAAATTGAATACCTGGGCTTCAGGTAGAACATTCAGATTCACAAGCATAGAGCGTAAAAACAGGCCAGTCCTTTGTGTTATGGAGGGGCACATAACATGTTGTGTTATGATGAACACATGAAACCTAAGCACACACTCCACTGAACACAAACATCTCACACGCAACCAAGGCCACGTGTCTGGCAAGGGCAGGAGAAAGACCACCTCTTTGAGATGCAGTGAGGGTAAGGAGTCATTTTTTTTTTAACCTAACATTCTAGGCAATAAGCATGGTCAGGCTTGCCCTGTGAAAAACTCAATTTAAAAAAAAAAAAGAGAGTGGAGAAGGTTGATGATGGCTCAGAGGTTGAGAGTACTGGCTGATTTTTCAGAGGACCTGAGTTCAATTCCCAGCACCCACATGGCGACTCACAACTGTCTGTAACTCCAGTTTCAGGGGATCTGAAGTCCTCAAACATATATACGTGCAGGTAAAACACCAATGCACATAAAATAAAAATAAATACATCATTTAAAAATAATAATAAGCCAGGTGTGATGGAGCACACCTTTAATCCCAACACTTGGGAGGCAGAGGCAGGTGGATCTGTGAGTTCTAGACCAGCTTGGTTACAGAATGAGTTCCAGCTAGGGCTATACACCAAAAATCTCATTATGTGGGGTTCTTGGGCCATGGTCATTTGTATTTAACTAAAAAATAAACTACTTGTTTCCTGGTGGTGAGCGGTATATTTTTTTTGTCAACAAGAAGGAAGCCCAGCTCAATGGTAGAAAGTTTGCTTGGTAAGCATGAAGCCCTGAATCCAACCCCAACACTACATGCCCCCTACTCCCAAAAAGGAACTTGCCAACCGTAACAATACAAACCACGACTGTGTGTGTATACCTACAATCCTAGCACTTAGGAGTTGAAGGCAGGAGGATCAGGAGTTCAAGGTTACCCCTGGTTACACATTAAGTTCCAGGCCAGCCAGGGCTACAAGGAACCCTGGTAGGGATGGGGGTAGGGGAATGCCAGACAGGGTGAAACGTGCCTTTAAGGCAAATCCATGACTTTAAGGCCAGCCTTGTCTACATAGCAAATTCTAGGCACCCAGGGATATATGAGACCCTGTCTCAAAATAAATGAACGACAAAAAAAATCCAAATGAACATTGAAGGACTAGTCACTATGCCCCAGAACATGCACATTCAGGTGATAGCAAGTAAGTCTCACTTTGCGGTTATTCTCCCTTTGGGCAGCAGGCCACAAACTATCCCGAATGACAGATCTTCACCACTGACCATCAGGTCTAGCATCTATGGGCTTCAGAAGATGGAAGGGGTCGCTTTACCTTCTCCCGAGAGATCTTCTTCTTGCCACAGCCATCACAGGTTAAGGGGAACTTAGGGCAGACCTCATAGTGCGCCTTAAAGAAAAACAGAAACATTAGATGGGGATGCCAACACCAGGACAGGGCAGTGAAAGAGAAGGGGACGGGGACACATGGCGTGCTCAAGACAACAGCCAGCATCTAGGAGGATACTGATGTACTCATGGCTCCTCAGATCCTCTCTGAAGCTGCATTTAACACTGAGTGAGATCCTGTAGGCACCCTTACAAATTCAGACTGCAGGACTTTCTTCTTCCTCTATAGCCTCCAGAGAACACAAGGTCTATGTAGAGACTGAAATGGCTGTGCAGGACTTTCACAGAACCAGACTATACTATCCTCACGCGGTCCCAGAGCACAGCCAGATTATCTTTTAGAGAGACCCTGATATGCTACTACAGAGTGCCCAACATCAGATGATGTCTGGCCTGACCACACAACAGAGGAACAGAGTGCCAACACCCAGGAGTGGAGAGCAGTAACAGCAGGCAGCTGAGAAAGGCCTGGAAAAAGAGATACTGATGACCCTTACTCCAACAGGAGTGAATGATCTCACAGCGGGAATGTGGACAAGCCAGAAAGTGACAGAGCAAATATTGTTAAATTACAGATATGTTCTTTCTGCCTTGGACGTGATCCCCAAAGATCTCCACACTGAAGGCTTAGTCCCTAGCATAGGTGTGCATGTGATGTAATCCAAAAGGTGTGGCCAAATGAAGATTCTAGGGCCACTGGGAACATGTCCTCAAAGGGGACACTGAGTCCCTTACTCTTTCTTTTGTTTGGTTTTTCGAGACAAGGTTTCTTTGTGTAGCTTTGATGCCTGTCCTGGAATTAGCTCTTACAGACCAAGCTGGCCTCCAACTCACAGAGATCCACCTGCCTCTGCCTTCTGAGTGCTGGGATTAAAGGTGTGCGCCACCACCACTGGCTCCTATCATGTACTCTAAAACCAAGATAAACCTTCTGTCTTTGGAAAGAGATTATCTCAGGCCCTGGTGAAAGCCATGAGAAACTGTTACTGATAATAACCCTGAACTCCGCAGACGGAATGACACAGTCCAGACTTGCTGATGGAGGAGTGCTGTTTCCTCTACCTGCTGTGCTTCAACTTTTCTCAAATGAGACATTTTTCTTGTTGTTTGGGGGAGGTGGGGTCCTGAGTACTGGGATTATAAGTTACTACACTCAATTGTAAACACTTGAAAATAGCTAGGCGGTGGTGGCTCACACCTTTAATCTCAGCAGTTGGGAGGTAGAGGCAGGCGGATCTCTGAGTTCGAGGCCAGCCTGGTCCACAGAGCAAGTGCTAGAACAGCCAGGGTTACACAGAGAAACCCTGTCTGAAAAACAAACAAGAAAAGTACTTGAAAATTTTTTCAGTCCTGTATGGTGGCACAAGCCACTAATGCCAGCACCTGAGAGAGCCAGGAGGATCTGCGAGTTTGAGCCTGGTCTACATAGCAGGTTCCAGTCCAGCCAGGGCTACAGATGAGAACCTATCTCAAAATACACATGTACATATTTCCAGATTTATTTATTTTATATGTATGAGTGTTTTGTCTGGTAAACCATAAGCTTGCCTGGTGCCCACATAAGTCAGAAAAGGGCACTGGATCCCTGGAACTGGTGTTATAGATTACTGAGTCATCATGTGGGTGCTGTGAACTGAACCCAGGTCCTTTAGAAGAGCAACAAGTACTCTTTACTGTAATTACATACCAAAGCAGGGTCCCACCAACGACTATGGCACCATGGAAACCAGTATAAAGAAGCTAAGCAAACTCCAACTATGGCAGCAAACTCTAGCTGAATGCCCATGTTATAGACACTGCCACCCAGGCTGTACTCGCCCAGCGCACCTCCAGGTCTTCACGGCTACAGGGTGCCCTGCAGTGCTGGCAGCTCAGGCTCCTTTTGGGGCATTCCTGCTCAGTATGATGCTCCTTCTCGCTGAGGCGGATCAGGCCTTTACATGCAGGACACTCGGTAAGCAGGAATGAGCACCGTCCTTCATGGCAGCTCTGGCAACAAAAGGAGGAATATGAAGATAGTATGCAGACCTTGCAGGTTGCCACTGTATGTGCAAGTTGCTTGGAGTTCCATGTTATCCTGCCCACCTTCTCAAGATCACTCACTATGCAGACGCAGGTCAGTGTACCCTCTTCCCACTTTCGGAAACCAGGGATGCTGACTCCTAGCTGTACTAGACTGAGCTGCTCCATTGCAGCTGGTCTGTGTGGGTGGTACCCTAAGGACACTTTCTTCTTCAACTATACACCCATGACACCCACCCCTCCCCGTGTCAGTTCCCAACTAAGTAAGTACATTGTTCTCCAGTTTAAAGATAAACACACAGCGCGGCCATGCTGCAGATCTTGCCAGTTCTGACCTCGTCACTCTTACAGTGGAGCTGGGAGACAAAAGATATAGAAGAAAGACAGAGAAAGTGTGAAAGTAGCTGCATGGCTCCCAATACCTGCAGCTCTGGGCATGGCTACCTAGCGAAGGCCTAACGTACCACATAAATGGCCAGGCCAAGATGTTGGAAGGCCAGCCTAGAGCCAGCTGTTATCAATATATCAATGTACAGGATGTACACCTGCGATCTATGCTGTGAGGAGCCAGACTGATCCACAGGAGATTAGCCTGGACCCCAGCCCAGCACACTGAACAGGAGCAAACCATGACATAGACGCACTGTGCCTCCCAGTCGACCCAAGAGCCGTAATACAGAGACATCCTACCTATAAACCAGGAGAGACAGGGCAATGAGCAAGTCCCCAGTTAAATGCTTTCCTTATAAGAGTTGCCTTGGTCATGCTGTCTCTTCGCAACACTAAGACACATAGTTACCAGAGAAACATAGCATTAGAGATTGTCTAAGCTATCTTTTTGTTTTCCCTTCTTGCTTTTTTTTTTTTTTTTTTTTTTTTCAGAGAGGATGCAGGTTGAGACAGGTTTTCTCTGTGTAGATTTGGCTGTCCTAGAACTGGCTCTTTAGATCAGGCTGGCCTCAAATTCAAGAGATCCGCTTGCCTCTGCCTCCCAAGTGTTGGGATTAAAGATGTGCGCCAACCACACACATCGAGACCCTATATTGAGCACGTAGGTCAGTACAGGAAGCACACTCAATACTACGCAGCCTCCACTGTTCACTCATAAAACTCTACCTTTCTAAACGCTAACTCACTCTCCATTAATAGATACCTCCGCCTCTGGAAACCTTCACCCACTGCCCCCGCTATGGACTCGCCCCCCTCCACCTCTAGAAGCCTTCACCCACTGCCCCTGCTATGGACTCGCCCCCCTGGACCTGGCTCATCTCACTGAGCTCAGAGAGGCTTTGAAGCAGAAGAAACAAGAGGAAAACTGCCAGGAGAAGGTTAACAGGCAAGAGGTTAAGTTCCTGAGGCTGAAGGCAAGTCCAGAGCAGGGCAGAAGGACCATCAGCCAGGCCATCAAGATGGAGGCTGCAGCTCAGAGTCATCAAAACAACTCTGGAGGAAGGCTCTCTGAGAGGACAGGGGTGAGGAGCCCTCATTCAAACCCCAGAAAGAGGTGGGATTCTAGACAAGGAAAAGCATACTAGGTCTGAAAGCTGGGCAACTCCCACAACAGGACACACAGGAACACAGATGTGTTGTGTGCCACACTCCCATAACTCCTGCTTATAAAAACAAGCAAAAAGTAACTCGGGAGGAGTTACTATGCTGTAACAGTTACAGAGCATAAAAACTAAAGCACAAATCACAAATAGTTACTACAATTTAGCTAAGAGGCTCTATATGACTTAGGGCTGGGGAGATTGCTCAGTTGATAAAGCACTTGTCACCCAAACACAGAAACCTGAGTTCTGACCCCAAACTCCACATAAAAAAAAAAAGGCCAAATAGAGCAGCATATTCCCGTAACCCCAATGTTGGGAAAACAAAGATAAGGGACCTGATGTAAGACGGCTAGCCGGCCTAGACTCACTGGTGAGCTCCAGGTCAGTAAGAAACCCTTTCTCAATAAAGAAGGCGGCTCCTGAGGAACAACACCCAAGGCTGACCTCTGTGCAACCACATGTACATACATACCCATTCACACAAAATACTCAAAGCTGTACACATGGGAGCAGAAAGCCTAGAATGCACACAGTCCTGGATTCAACCCTCTATATTAGAAAAGAAATTAAAAAATGACAAGGTAGCTTAGACTTGCTTTGATGTAATCCCCATGGGAACAAGGGTGACGAGACAGCTGACAGAGCCTGATGGGAACCGGGAGCCCAGCACTGACTTGCCTCTCAGCCCACTGCTCAAAGTTGCTCTATGTTTTTGAGATAGGATCTTAAGCAATTTGTTCTTGACCACAAACTTTCTATGTAGCTGAGGATGGCCTTGAACCTCTGATCCTGACAAATTTCAATAAAATTTTTCCCCTGGGCTGAGAATGTGGGAATGGTAGAGTATGTGTGTGTGTTTTTTTTTTTTTTTTTTTTTTCCTTTTTCTTTTTCAAGACAGGGTTTCTCTGTCTTAACAGCCCTGGTTGTCCTGGAACTCACTCTAAAGACTACAAAGACCCGCCTTCCTCTGCCTCTGAGTGCTGGGATGAAAGTCATGTGCCAGCACCTCCCAGCCCAGTATGTGCCTTTTATGTTCATGGCCCTGGGTTCAATGCCCTGCATGGGTGCTTCAATTCCCAGCTGAGTTCAGGTCCTGAGAATGACCTGAGTTGGAGCTCACTGATTAGTCTACGCTGGTCAGTCCCCAAACCCAGGGAGTCTACTGTCTCTGCTTCCCCAACACTGAGATTACAGGAGTATGCTGCCATCCCTGACTTTTCTAGATGCGTTCTGGAGGGGGACCAGGTGCCAAATGCTGGTCCTCAGGTCCTGAGCTCAAAGAGTCATAGGCAGAAGATACACTTGTCGCCAACATACTCAGGCAACAAGGACAAAGCTCTGTTTCCCCACCAATCCTGGCAGACACAATCCAAATACATCAGTATTTACTCAACCAGAATTCAAATTGAACATTTTAAACAGATCCAGTTGATAATACTGATTTTTTTTTCTTCAGGTTTTTGTTTTGTTTGTTTTGCTGTTTTTTCTCTGTGTAGCTCTGGCTGTCCTGGGACTTATTCTGTAGACCAGGCTGGCCTCGAACTCACAGAGACCTGCCTGCCTCTGCCTCCTGAGTGCTGGGATTAAAGGAGTGTGCCACCACCATCTGACTATAACTGAATTTCATAAGAACACATAATTGTGGGCTGGAGAGACGACTCCAGTTAGGAGCACTTGCTGCTCTTACAGAGGACTCAGGTCCAATCCCCAGAATACACACGGGGGCTCACAACCAATCTTAACTCCAGTACTAGGAGACCCAGTGCCACCTTTTGGTTCCTCTTTGGGCACGAGGCACACATGTGGTGTATATACACACATGTAGATAAAACACATTAAAAGATTAAAAAGAAAAGAAAATACAATGGCCATGGACAGTAGAGACCTGCCCCCCAGTGCCGGGTGCTCCTGAGTATTTGTAGTCCTGGTTGGTCTGGAACTTATGACGCACACACCAGGCTTGCCTTGCCTTGCCTTTGTCTTCCCTTGTGTGGGAAAACAGGTATGCAGTGCACGCCTTGCCTCTGAGATAGCATATTTTAACAGGGCTGTCGGTCTGTTTTCAGAATGACAGGCATCACCATAAAGGAAAAACAAAGCTAAGGCTAAGCAGGATTTTTCTCCAACTTTCCAGACATTTTAAATAATTCAAACCATAAGACAAATGTTGTAGTCACAACCTTAGTTTCCAGTAAGAAAATCAAGAAACAGATGTGTGACAAGCAAGAGACAGGATTATCTGCAAAGGTGGTAATGACTACACACAGTAGATAATTTCTGTCCTGGCCTGTGACATTTGCCACCAGTGAGATGCTTTTATCAATAAAATCAGCTAAGGCAGAGCTGTGCCTGCGCTCCCACGTGACCAAACCCAACTCATCTTAGGGACTTTCCAGACCTCTCGAAGGGTGCAGCCAGGGACTTTCCAGCCTGCATGCCTGCAAAGCCACATGGCACCAAGCCCATAGCCTGGCTGCAGTCCCTAACCATCAGTCAGAGGCCCACACAGCCACTGACCTCGATTACCACAGGCCTGGAGGCCACAGAAATCCCAGAGGAATCCAGAGCCTAACAGGGCTGGGAACTACTTTTCCACCTGCCCCAGCGGTCTCTCAAACATCCACAAGAGCAAAATGTTACATAGGGTCCTCATTCCCTACACCAACATTCTCCTGCATCCTCCCGACTTTCCTCGAGGCCATCTCTTTCCGAGATAGCCCTAGGCATTTCACTTTAAGGATATACTGAGACTATGGCTCCTCACCAGGCCCTGACACCATGCTAGAAAAGAAGACTACAGCTTCTTGCTCACCCAAGTGAAGCCCAAACTGCTCAGCTAGCAAAATGAAACCCAAAGCCCGACATCACAAAGTGTCATCAGTCCACAGGACATGGGACATGTAGCCATACACACATGGCCGAGCGCAGAAGAGACGAGGTCTCACTAAGCAGCCCAGGCTACCCCTGAACTCATATGGTCCTCCTGTCTCTGCCTCCCAAGAACTGCGATTATAGGTGTACTTCACCATGTCTAGCTGAGACAAAACCTTTTTGAAGGTTGTTGACTGAGCCAACAAAGGACAGTGAGTAACTTGGTGGACCCCAGTGGCCTCCTAATCACCTGGTCTCTGTGATGCAGGGTTAACTGAAGATGCGTAAAGGTGATGCGGGGCTCACACTAATATCCCACTACACCACACTGTCCGTATATCTCCTCTGCCACTGTCTTTTAGATGTCTTTCCATGACCACGTAACAAATATACCCAGTACTTGAACAATTTCCAGTGTCAACACAAATCAAAACAAGAGAACCCTTATGAGTTAGCCATGATAGTGAACACCTTTAATCCTAGTACTCAGGAGGCAGGTGGATCTCTGTAAATTCCAGAACCAGGGCTACAGAGAAAGATCCTGTCTCAAAAAAAAAAAAAAAAAAACAAAAAAACAAAATCAAAACAAAAACCAACAAACCCAAAAAACAAGTAACAAAAAGAAAACCTTGTGGGTATGATACACAACACAGAATCTCCCTGACCTTAGAAGCTGCAGTTTCCAACAAAGAATTAGAGATCTGCAACCTAAGCAAATGTGATGTTACCAAGGCCAACATGGCACTAGCTCCTTACCTAAGGTAGCTACAAATCTCCTGTACCTCTGGGGTAGAGTAGGAACTTGAGACATGGAAAGAAGAAACAAACTCTATGGTATAGGCCTATGCTGCACTATTTGGGTTTCAGAAAAGGTACTCTTAAAAAATAAAATAAAACAAAGAGATAAAACAAAAGCAGGGAGGTGGTGGCGCACGGCTTTAATCCCAGCACTAGGGAGGCAGAGGTAGGCGGATCTCTGTGAGTTTGAGGCCAGCCCGGTCTACAAGACCTAGTTCCAGGACAGGCTCCAAAGCTACAGAGAAACCATCTCGAAAAACAAAAACAAACAAAAAAACCACAAAGGTTCACTAGGTAGGCCAAGTAAATCCTGAACTCATGATTCTCCTGCCTCAGCTTCCAAAGTGTTGGGATTGCAGTCATGTAGCAGCTTACTCTCAGAAAGGGACACTTTCTAAGGAGCAATGCTTTTTTCACATCCATTAGCCAGGCCAGTCCCAGCAGGAGTAGAGAACAGCTTCCATAAGAACTGTTTTGTAGGGCTGGAGAGATGGCTCAGAGGTTAACAGCACTAACTGCTCTTCCAGAAAACCCAGGTTCAATTCCCAGCACCCACACTGCAGCTCATAGCTGTCTGCAGCTCCAGTAGTCAATACTCTCACACAGACACACATGCCAGCAAAACACAAACGCATATAAAATACAAATAAACAAATCGTTTTAAAAAAATGTTTGTGGAGTAGAATTCCCCAAAGTCCACTGCTGGAGATTCCGGCCACCAGGCCAAAACAGAAATGTCTTTCTACCTCATATTCTTTCAAGGTTCCCTTCCAGGTGCACCCATCATTGGGACAGACAGCTGGCAGACTCTCCACCTCCCTGCGGGCAGCATTATCTGGAAAGGCCTGGAACAGAAATATTCTTGGATTATACCTTCTCCCAGCACCCTACTGCCTATGAAGCAACATCTAGATCAGAGACCCTACCCAGAACAACCTGTGCCGTTTTCCTGAGTCAGCACACGGAGCAGAAGATAACAAAGGACCAGCTAAGCCATGCTTCTGCTTCCCAATCTTTCCACCCCAAACCAATCATGAAAGGCCACTCCTAGCTCCCAACTTCTCATTCTGTTACCAATGTTACTAAACAAAATTTCTAAATATTTTCTGTTCGTTTTGACTTGTTTAACTCAATACAGTGTACTTACCGAACTATTCTCTAAAACAGAAATGCCTTCTTCATACAGGCCTTCGTGGACACAGGCAGCACAATTCTGAGGCCCAGAGCTAGTGGTAACAAAGGAAACAGAAAATCCCACTGCAAAATTTGCTGCAGAAATTAACTGAGCACGGTTGGCTCAGCCCGCAATCCAGCTCCACACCAGTCATTCTTAATTTTTTTCATCTTTGATCACAAGTATGTCAACTGCACGATATTTCAAAAACTACAAATGAGAAGATTCAAATGCAGAAAAGGGTATCGGGGCTTGAACTTGCAAAGCCAACTCATTTCTTCCTTTTTTCTTTTTGAATTTGTGACTTCAGGGACCAAAGCATGGCTTTGCGAATGCCAGGTAGGTTAAGTGTTTTATCGCTGAGCCTCAACTCCAGCCTTCATTTCTTTCACTTGTGAACAAGGCATTCCTCTCTGGTAAACCTGACACTCCAAACACATGGCAGAAAACATGGGTGTGTTTATCTTCTCCACATGCACTGCTGCCTTTCACACCGTTGTGCACATCAGCCACCCACCCACATGACATTCAATGCATCCACCAGAGCAGCCTAAGGGAGCTAGAATCCTCACAGTAAAATTTCTTGTGCCTGTGAAACCGACAATAATGAATTATACTTAATTTCACATGTCCAAAAATAATATATAACCTATGTTTTCATTTGTGTGCATGAATTATCACGTGTGAACACAGGTGCATATATGTGTATGTGTGTAAGCCGAGGTCAAATATCAGGTATTCCTCCTCAGGTACCACCCACCTTTTTTCAGATAGAACTCTCACCAGGACCTAGAGCGCGCAGATTAGGCTAGGCTAAACAGTGAGCCTCAAGAGTCCTCTTATCGCTGTTTCCAGGCATATGATGTCACTACACACACATATTCCCATGCCCAAGTTTTTACATGGGGGGAGGGGATCAAACCCAAGCCATGACTGCACAGCAAGCACTTCACCATCTCTCTACTCAGCCCCACTATTACATTCTAATTTTTTTTAATTACATTTTTAAAATGTATTGTGGGAGAGATGGCTCAGAGGTTAAGAGCACTGGCTGCTCTTACAGAGGTCCTGAGTTCAATTCCCAGCAACCACATGGTGGCTCACAGCCATCTGTAATGAGATCTGGTGCCCTCTTCTGGCCTGTAAGCATACATATAGACAGAACATTGTATACATAATAAATAAATAAGTCTTTAAAAAAATGTACTGTATGTGTAAACATGTACCAAGGCATTCAGGGAGAGGTCAGAGGACAATGTGGGAATTCCCTCCTTTCACTGTGTGTGGATCATTGGGCTCAAACTCAGGCCACCAGGCTTGGTAGCAAGTGCCTTCACCCACTAAGACATCTCTCTGACTTCTGAGGTTGATTTTGAACTTGTTATGTAGCCAAGAATGACCTCAAACATCTGCTTCCAATCTCCACCTCTCAAGAGCTGGAAACAAGAACACGCTATCATATCTTTCTAAGATCAATTCTAAATTCTTTCTTACTTTTTTTTTTTTTTTTTTTTTTTTTTTGTTTTTCAAGAAAGGTTTCTCTGTGGCTTTGGAGCCTGTCCTGGAACTAGCTCTGTAGACCAGGCTGGTCTCGAACTCACAGGGATCCGCCTGCCTCTGCCTCCCGAGTGCTGGGATTAAAGGCGCTTACTTTTTTTTTTTTTATTTTTGAGACAAAAATCTACATAGCCCTAGAACTCACTTGTAGACTAGGATGGCCTTGAGCTCAGAGATCCTCTGCTTCTGCCTCCTGAGTGCTGGGATTCTGTTTCACTATACCCAGCTCAATCAATGGTTTTAAGTGGTAAATTTTACCTTCTTAGTTTGGGGTAAGCCTCCAGAATCCAAGGAGAATTTGTACTAACAACCCCTCTACTAAATAGTGCAATCTAACATCAGACCCACCCACTTGCCCCTGCCCACTCGGGCAGCATGCCATGCACACCTGAGGATGTTCTTCAGGCAGAAGCTGCAATAGCGGTGACCACACTGGGCCTGGAAGGGCCTCCGTAGGATGTTTCTGCACGCTGAACACAGGTACTTGGCTTCTAACTTGGTCCCCAGGAGGGTCTTGGAGAAGCCAGGCTGCTGCAGGTCTAGGGAGCCAGGGGGAGTCACACTGGCTGCAGCCATGTGAGTTTTAACCCACACACACCACAAAGCCCTAAAGAAAACAGACCACATCACACCTCAATTCAGAATAATCCTCTAGAGCAGTGGATCTCAACCTTCCCAGTGCTTCAACCCTTTAATATAGTTCCTCACACCATAAAATTATTTTTGTTGCTACTTCATAATAGTAATTTTGTTAGTTATGAATTATAAATATCTGTTTTCCAATAGTCTCAGGCAACCCCGTGAGTCTTCCACCCCCAAACGGGTCACAACCCACGGTTACGAGAACTACCACTCTAGAGGGAAAAGGAAGGTGGTGACATCTACTAGGAGGCACATGGTGAGGTGCCTGGGTCACTACACTGATCTTGAAAGAGGATCTAAGAAACAAGATTTTAGAGTTCTGGGAAGCCTTGAAGATAAGCCAAACCAATCTCCTGCTACAAATATGGGAAGAGATGACAATAAGGGCGACGAAACTTGATGTCACCCACAGTAACTATCCAATTCATCAGCTTCCTACTTTCTGGCATCAAATCGATCCTGGCTGGAGCACTTCCTGCAGAGACCAAGTCAGCATCCTCCATCCTACACCCATGGTCCCTACAATGAGCATGTTTAAGACGGCAGACGGCTTCTGAAGCATACCATAGGCTGGCAGTCCTTAGATCCCAAACAGTCTCCTGGAGGTGGACACCTGGGCATGAGACACAGTCAGTCTGCATTAATCACTGTTCCCTGCTTGGTATCAGTTCTCCACATACTGCATTGAGCCCACAGCCTGCAGAGCCCCTCCCTCTTCCTGTCATTCAGACCTGACACCTGCCATCCTCGCCAAGATGTTTCACTCAAAGCCAACTAGAGTCCATCTCTTCCCTCCTCTAGGCATCACCCGCCATACCAGAAGAACCACCTCTGCCTGCCCCATCCTGTTTTCCTCTTCTCCAGCCCCAGGCTCCTCCCTCATCTTCCAGCACAGTGGCCTCCACTGGGCTCCCTCTCAACTCCCAGAGTAATCACACAGCACCCAGGCCTTCTGCTTCCCCATTTTCTCAGGTAGCACTCTGGGAGCCCTCACACTCAGGAGCCCAGAAGAGAGGCTTACTCAAGCTGAGGCAGGTGTGGAGAGGCCTGGACTACCTGAAGGAGCAACCTGGTACCTCTATCTTCCAATGGCCTCTCATACCTGGAGTACACCATTTCCCAGTGACAACCTCCTTGCCCTATCTCCATGTCCAAGGCAGCGTAAACATTGGGGGTAGCTGCTAACCATACTTTCTGCCAAACAGGGTTCCTCAACCTCTGAGAAGAGTGTGGGAAGACCGCTGGCTCTCACTCAGAAGAGCAGGCTAGTCCCAATGAGGGCAAAGAAGTCTGGGGTATGGGGTGGGAGGACATGGACCTCCAGGGTCTTAGCTGCCAAGATCGGGTTCAGTTTCAGAAGCTGAGCTTAAGGAAGAAGTGGGTTATGTGCCTTGGGATTCAGACTAGGAAGTGTGTGGTATCGGAGGTGTGCTGAAGGCAGGGAGGCCATAAGCAGGAGCAGCAGCATCTCCGGAGTCCTCTCTTCCCAGCAAAATCCCAGTCATGTTTCATTTAACAAATCACCTCTCAGAACCATTCCCACATTTAAATACCAGAGGCAATTCCCAGGCTCCAGGAACAATGGCAGCACTGCCTGCTGCATGCTTGGCAACTGCCAGACAGTGCCTTGCTGTCTCCTTCAAACCTTGCTGGCCCCACTGACTTGCCTGCCCTCAAAGCCTCCGGGCACTCACATCCTGGCATGCACAAGGCCCCATCTAGCTGTCAAAGGCCTGGTGGAAGGCTACAGTGAGAAAAACAGAGTGTGGGTCTAGTTCCACAGCCTGAGTCACTTGGTTCTAGGTCTACTGGCCAGTCTGCCAAGGCCCTCCCTCCTCGTCCCTGCCCACTGCCCTCAGGGTTACTTGCTGCTCACCAGGGACTCAACAAGCCCACTCTTTGCCCAACCCTTGGCCAATCCTGCCTCGTCTGGTGGACACCCTGCCCTGTTCTCCTTCACACCGATCCCAAACACCACCACTACAGTGTCGAGCCACACTCAGAAGTGAGGGAACTGGGGGCTGGAGCAGAGGTTAAGAGCATTGCCTGCTCTTCCAAAGGTCCTGAGTTCAATTCCCAGCAACCACATGGTGGCTCACAACCATCTGTAATGGGGTCTTGTGCCCTCTTCTGGCCTTCGAGCATACACACAGACAGAATATTGTATACATAATAAATAAATATTAAAAAAAAAGTGAGGGAACTGTACAACCACTCTGCTGGCCATGCCCCGACCCCACTGCTTCCGACTGCTCCCAAACACTTCAACCCTAGGCCCTTCTTCAAACACAGTGTCACTGGCCTCCACTGGTAGTCGGGTGCTCAGAGCCCAGGCACCACCAGGACATGCCTGGATACACACTAGCGTGGCTTTCAACACAGCATTCATCAAAAGATGACTGTTACTTACATGCAGATTGCTATCCTTTCCAGTGTACCTCGATTCTGATTACACATATTAAAACATTCACAATGCAGCAGTGACAGCTGCCATCTGTCACCTTCTTCTCATCCAACAACTGTTTTTCAGATGCTAGGCACCAGCACTACCGGTTTCTGTGAACCAACCCTTGGCTGAGGGTGTTGAGTCCGAAAGCAAGAGAACTCCTCTGTTCTATCTGTACATCTCTAAGAGGAAAGAAGTTTCTCACCTGTACCTAGACAGTAGTTAACAGAGAGCCCAAGCAGAAAGAATTTTAACTCAGAACCCTTGAGATCTTCAAGTACACACAACTACAGCATTACAAACAGCAGGTCATCCCCCCTGGGAACCAATAAGCAGCACAATGACCCCACACTCAGGGAGTCCCCTTTACAGAAGAGGCACACTGATGTCTAAGGCTGAGACTCCTGACAGAGCTCCTGTACCGAACACCATGACAAGACTGCTGGGTGTCCCTAACCTGCAGGACACAGCTCACACGTGCCCACATCCACTCGATTATTCTGCATACACAATTTAATGATGCCCACATCCAAGTTCATAAAGCATATGTATAACCTCCATCTACTCTAAGCGCCCACCAGGGTGGATGGCCCTGGACAGGAGGGCAAACCTGACTCTGCCCCGCTCTTGGGGTGGATGCATCTCCCAGCCTCACGCGTGCATCTGCACTGTGGGAGGAAACTCACTAGCGCCTGAGCTCAGTGAGACACCACGTCACAAAAAACAAAACAAAAACAAACAAACAAAAACCCAGCTGGCACTAAACAACCAGAAAGACATGAATGTAGGGCAGGTTTAATCGTATTTTATTTTTTGTTTTTTGAGGCAGAGTTTCTTTCTGTAACAACAGTCCTGTCTGACCTGAAACTCTCTTTGTAGACCAGGCTGGCCTCAAACTCACTGAGATCTACCTGCCTCTGCCTCCCAAGTGATGGGACTAAAAGCAGGCACCACCACCTGGCCAAGTAAGAAAATGTTTCCATTTAAAAAAGGCGACAACACACAGTTGGGCTCTAACCTCCCTGTCTATCCTTCTCCCAGATATGCCCCTCAACAAGCCTTTCTCCTGTTTTGAGACAGGGTTTCTCTGTAGCTTTGGAGCCTATTCTGGCACTTACTCCATAGACCAGGCTGGCCTGGCCTTGAACTCACAGAGATCTGCCTGCCTCTGCCTCCTGAATGCTGGAATTAAAGGTGTGTGCCATGACTACCCAGTTCCAGATTTAGGTTTAAATGTCTGTCTGTCTCTTTCTTTCTTTCTCTCACCTGTGAATGGAGCGCCTGAATTCTTTTTTTTTAATATTTATTTATTTGTTTATTATGTATACAATATTCTGTCTGGGACCTCAACACTCAAAAAAATGGATAGCTCCAGCCCTGACTGCATAGCTTCCTTGGGGCCACTGTAGCCTCCTGGGGACCAGAGGAACCTTTATCACAGCATGAAGTCTGAGCCTCTACTCAGCTTAGAACCTCAATGGCTTCCCAGCTCTGGTCACGAAAGCTAAAGCTGCGCCAACTCCACCTGTCTGCCTACCCCAGCTCCCACCAGTTCTCTCAGGTCTGCGCCATACCCATTCTGCTAGGGCCTTACTCCCAGGACTGGCTGTCAGCAGGCAAGTACAGAGCTAAAAGAGGAAGGAGGGGAGCCAGCTTCTACAGCTCTCCCCTCCTGGCTACTACTAGGGAAGTCGCCTTCCACTGATGGCTGCAGTCACATTAGTAACTAGACAGCCAGCAGCTAACTCTGGCACACAGCACAAAATCCCTTTCTGTAACAACTGGCCCAGTCCTTCACAAACTCACCCCATCCCCAACCCATGCCCTCTGCTCTAAACAGAGCACCCCAACTCTGGGTCATGTTCCTGCTGTCTAAATTCCAAATCCTTGATTTTCTTGTGCTCAGATTTCCAGTTCCCATCCACCTAAATTACAAGCTGCCCTCAGACACCAACTACACTGCCCACCTGGGTCCCAGGGTCTAGGTGCAGAGCGCACTCACTGGGTCTCCTTCTCTATGGCTAGCAGCAGGGCAAGCACAGTATAGTAGTGTGATGGATGCCCAGTATAAAGGGGCAGCAAACGGGGGAAAATCTCCAACATAAGCCTTGAAGCTGCACACCCTACCTTTGGCATAATCTGCAGGACCAACGGCAGTTTTTTCTAGATTTTTTTTCTTCTCCAGGTTACCTCGTCCATGCCTGTACAGTTCACAACTTCCCATGGGATCCACCTGCCACGCCATACTCAAAATTTATGTAACAACACACGGGAATTGGGGGCTTAGCATTCCACTGTCAAGAAGGAAACCCCAAACCAACTCCCAAAACAGCAATGAGATGACAGGCTGGAAACACACTTCCTTCCTAGAAGAGGGCCTTCTCCAAGCTGACTGCTGCCATTTCTGTGGTGCAGCCCAGGCCGCTATTCCTCTATGTGCAGGGGGAATCACAGTCCAGAGAATCCTGGAGGGCTCTGTTGGGAAGCGCCCCATGTGCTGCAGCCCAGGAGCCAGTGAGACTGGACGTGCACGTGCATGGCCCTCACTCCAGTCGCTGCACAGACTTTTCCAGGCTCTCATCAGCCATCAGGTGTGCAGAGAGAGGTGCTGAGGACCAAGTCTGCCCCATGATGACTGGCAAACAGGAAAGAGTAATAGGGTTCCCGGCAGCCTGCATTGTCAGAGACTAGTCTGTCCAGTTCCAGGAGTACTGGGGTGGGTGGGTGGGGGGGTCCCCAGAGGAAAAAGAAACAGCAAATACATAAACACCTCACAGACGTGCCCTGCAGGTCAGGCCAGGGAGACACCACAGCTGGAAGCACTCAGCCTTCCAGCTGTGCACACAAGGCTTGATAAAGAATTACCCTTGAGTCGGTGGTGGTGGTGCACACTTTTAATCCCAGCATCTGGGAGGTAGAGGCAGGAGGATCTCTGTGAGTGGGAGGCCAGCCCGGCCAATAAAACTAGTTGTAGGGTTACAAAGAGAAAGCCTGGAGCCGGGCAGTGGTGGCGCACACCTTTAATCCCAGCACTCGGGAGGCAGAGACAGGCGGATCTCTGTGAGCTCGAGGCCAGCCTGGTCTACAAGACCTAGTTCC